TAATTAGCCTCAATATTATTATTACAAAACCATTCTTTACACGAACTAGGGAATTCGGTGAGAGACGGGTTTACGCTAAGCCTTGATAAGCTGTCCTAGCTACATAATAGGAAGATTAGGAAGATAATAGATATGTATGTGAAATACATAAAGTCATGAGGACCCTGTCCTTGCGAAGCTGCCGAAGGATTCAAACAGACATATTCGCTAATGCCGGATGGAATGCGCTGCGCTTTTTGGAACACTTCGGCGGTGTCAACAATCCATCAGAAAAGCTCAAGAATAGCACACAATTACGAAGTGTATTGTACCTGTTCGCCTTTGCCACCTGGCAGAATCCCCACTCCCATCGGCGAAGGGTCTCGCACAGTGCAGGGTCTTGCTGGTCTGAGGGGGACGGTTCTTTCGTTGCAGCAATGCGGGCACACTCCTATGCATGAGCCTTGAGGGGGGGAAGGGGGGGCGAGCAGGGGTCAGAAATTCATCTTTTGCCTCCGTTCCAATGAAATGAAGGCCGTTCGACCATTTTGGAGTTGACCATATCGGGAATCAATCCAGAGTGCTGGTAGTGCGTTTTCATCTTTATTACGGTAGCAACTCTTCGCTCAGCTATGTCAACACATGTATGTATGTGTGTGTATATGTATGTAATCCGCAGTGTAGAAAAGCCATCATGTTTCGAGTCAGACGACATTGAATACTATCTTTAGCATCAAACTCCATCCATTCTATAAGTGTCCATATAGAAAAAGCTGTCGGCTTAGCTGGATGAGTAATAAAGAGAATAAAGAGCGCCATCGAGGAGGATCGCCATTAAAGCCGAAGTCGCGTTGATTGGCCGATTTACTACGGCGTACCAGCAAAAGACTCAATTGTCAATGTGCCTACGGAAGCACCCTACCGACGTGTGCCTCGCACAGACTTTGATGCTTCACAAAGCACAGATGGCCGCCGAGGACGAAATAACTACCACTATGTATCCACTATCCATCATCCACCCGTACCCGTGACTCGAGTTCATTTCGAAAGAGAAGACCAACTTTGGACATTGGTCGATTTGATCCCAAGAAGTTGACTATTCAGAGGTCGGCACAGGATAAGCTCACCCTTCATATGAATTGGTGTTGTCGCCTTTGTCTCACGAGATAGGCGGAGAAGCAGGGCTAGTGACTAACCTCGCTAGCCTCTAACACGATTGCACCATTTGCCCCGTATGGAGCTATAACACTAGGGCCGTAACGTTGATGTAGAAAAGCGGGGGCGATGATACCGTCTTAATTCGCTCTGCCCGTCGACTGGGCGGAGAGGCGGAGAGTACATGGAGCAGCAGACCCTGAAAGCGCGAGAGGAAAGTCATTACACGGTAGTAGCCTCGGAACAAATGTATTATGTATTACATGCCTTCGGACCATTCAGGAGCGGGCGTTTAATTCGGGTTTATCGAGATTGAGAAGTTGGCAAGCATGCTTCGACGGGTCCTTTGTGTTTCCGAATCTCCAGATATCTCTACCTAGGCGACGTCTACTAGTCGATGGTACGTGATACAATAGTAGCTGATCAGTAGCTGATTAGAGCAACCAACATCGGACAGGAGAGGGTCGAGATGAGATGTCGTCAGTTTAGACATTGACAATTGCTGCTGCCGATCAAGAAAGGGAAAGGCGCCAATCTCTCAACCCACGAGGCGTCCAGATTGATTGAAGGCGGCCCGCGGTAGGACAAAGACTTTTCCTTTTTGCGTCGTTCGGCGCGATCTTCTTTTCCCTTTTCCCTCGAACCCCCAAGCTTCCAGGCTGGCAGGCTGGCAGGCGTGCAGACACTTGGAAAAGCGGCCGGGGTCCTAAGCAAATCATACCTAGGGTCAGTCCCACTCGAGCAGCTCCATATTCTCGAGAGGTTGGGGTTCTAAGCTTCCTTGTTCGCAGCATGGCTTTCGTAGTGTAGGATCGATGAGAAATTGGAGAATGACCGATCTTCCCACACCCATGCATTCCCTCTGCGTAGTAGCGAACGTGCCATGTAAGTGAACAGTACCTGATAGTACTAGAATGCTACATAATACCACACAAGCGTGGTTGATTGGAACTCGGACGTGCTCTCCAGTATTGGACCGAAAAAGGAAATTACAGATACTCTAGTGGCGCTATTCGATCAAACGCGACGCGCTCGCGAAATCGGATCAGCAAGGATGGCGGTATGAGAAGGCCCCGTCGACTACGTCGTAAATGCTTGTTGCTGCTGAAAGAACTAGAGCACTAACATAGTAGAGCTATCAGGCTAGCAAACAATGTTGAAGAATCCTACATAACCTCGGCAAGCACATATATACAGTAAATAATATTGACGATGATCTACTGACAGTCGTGATATTGCCTTTAGTATTGCCTCGGTGCATGTAGTTATTAAACCGAATATAATAAATAGGTGTTAAACAAGCTTTTTCGGCGAAGCTGCCGTGCCTGTAATGACGATTTCGTCTTACCTAGAAGCGAAGTCGGGTAGGTATCACAATCAATACATTCCCATAAGCGCCGTGGCTCTGCAAAGAATACCACCTCCCGACGCCACCGAACCGCAATAGAATGACCAATTGGTCGCTCCTCAACACCCGGATGTCACTCTGAGTCTAATGTCTCGCCTGAAAATCGAAAAATAAAAAAAGGAATGGATGCCGAACCACGGCACCGGGCGAACTTAGAAACCCAGCAAAGCTCGCCTCTCACCTCCCCGACCACACTGGCGCGGGACCAACGTTGCCGGCGGACGCGGGCCCGGCGAGCATGTATACGTAACATGCCACCTGCTCACCTGCTCGTACTCGCGGCGACATCAGGAAAATAATAAAGATATCGCCAGGATAGCACGGCATGAGAAGTTACCTATTCTTATAATTAACCCGCGCCGCGGCCCTACTGCTCGATCAGAGCGAAACATAACACCACCTAATACCTACCTACCTACCTACCCCAAGCCTCGGTGTCTCAGCCAGTCGAACATACCTGCGAGGTCTCACATTCCCCAAATACCTCGTACATAGGTAGCTAATGCCGTGCTCGCCCGTACGTGCGAGGTACCGAGTCCTCGGGATGAGCGTATGTACAGCAGCGTCCCTACCTACTTACCTATAGACATCGATGTAGGTTGCTAGGCAGCGTCGCGGTTCCCATCTTCCGAACGCCATCGATCGACATTCTTTTCCCATCTCCTTCCTTGCGTCGCCCCTCCGGCGACATGCCAGTCGTCCATTCGCGAGCCAATGTCCGCTCCGCTAAGCCCTTTCTTTTTCTTTCTTTCTCTGCCCTACCTAGTTCGCGGGATCCCGTGGCGGTGGCAGACGCACGGGTGGGTGGGTGGGTGACAAGCCAATCGAGGATTTCCGGCGACGGCCTAACTTCCGAGCGGTTGCCATCGAAGACGTATAACATAACGTACCAACTTGTGTAGACAAGTACGGCAGCGCCGTTGCTGTCGAGTTACTTGCCAAGTAGTTACCTAGGCAGGTAAGTAAAGTAGAGAGAGTAGCTTGCGCTGGGCGCTGCACAGGATTTCGGCGCCCTTCCCGTGGCGTACAGCCCTGCGCTACCGTACGTGCCGTCAGCCGTCCATCAGCCATCTCGAGGAATGCCGCACCTGCGTAGCTAGGCAAGATACTAAGCAAAGTATTTCCCGTGCTTCACACGTGAGAGGCTTAGTTAGGCCGGCATGGGGGAGCCAGCAAGCAAGATGGGAAACGAATCGGTACCTAGGGGGGTGAGATCTATCTGAATCGAGAAGGATTACGACGCGTCTCTTCTTTCCTTCATGATTCGAAACCAGGTTGACCTGACCTGCGCAAGGTTCAACGATCATACTATCAAATACATATATACATACATACCTGTATTCCCCCTTGTCCTACGCCTCATGCAGAGATCTGTCTCGATGTAGAAGGCGCCGGCAAACGTTTGTCTACAACAGATTGGAAAAGTGTCTATTTTAGCCGTCGAATCGTGGCTTGTTTGAACGCCTCGACGACGATCCTTAGCAATCTGATCGAAATTTTGTGGGTTACAGCGGGATGATGTGCTGCAGGGTGTGCGTGCGGCATAGCCGCATCAGAACTCGACTCGAAACGCATGGATCACTCGTTCTAAGTACGTTTGAGTTTTTTCTGATGTTCCTTTTGTCTTCGAGTGTGAAATGTTTCTGTCGAGGCAAGCCATGAAGTCTCGGATAAGGGATGGTATTAGACATCGCTACTTATTTAGCAACAGATGGTGGCTGGCTGATGGGTGGTGGCATTTGTGAAAGGTTCGGGGATGATATTAATTCAACTCCAGATACTACGTGCGAAGTAATTTACATTTGGACAGCGACGGTGATGAGGCTCTTGTTACCCTTTAGGGACATAGTCAACGAAATTGAAGAATCCTACCGTGGTAATCTACGAGTACGTACTTGACTTGGCATACGATTCGCACCATGGGTATTGTTAGAGCCTCAGACCGATATCATGCGATTCAACCCTCACTGCCTCAGTCGGTTTGGTGTTGGCGAATTCTCTCTTCTGATTGGACAGAAGCCCATTTCATCCTCCGACAAGTTCTGCGTAATTGGGTGCACTGCTCATAATCTGGTGCGTGCCCGGTCTTCGACGCAGGCCACCCCATGTCCGCCTCCTATCCCTGACAAGGCCTGAAACACCAACCGTGAGGAATCTCGCATCGTCACTCAGGTCTCGATCCTTTCTCGCCTTCTTTCTGGACTCGTTTAGTTGGCGGAGCCCTAGCTGGCGTAGCGTTTTCACTTTCGTTTCTGCTTCGGGGTCAGGCCATCCTGCTTTTACTGCGTATTGTAGTCGTAATTCTTTTTCGCTTCCCCCTTCGTGTGCTGGTCATTTTTCGCACTTGTCACCTATCTCGGCATCGTCCGGTTAAGTTTTAGGTAGCATTTCTTCCTTTCTGGCAGCCCGGCGCTTGCAACTTTCTTGTCGTCCAGTCAGTTGACTTTATCGACCTTCCGATTCTTGTCGTGCTATGCATCGTATTCATCTATAGGATTTTATTCCCTTCTTTTCTAATTTGCTTTTTTTCGCTTCGTGATCCCCTCTTCCCTTCCTTTCGACTTTCAAGGTCGAGGTGTAGGTGCTGTCGCGCTGCCCTTCCGTTCCTTTTGCTATTACTCTGTTATTCGCCTTACTATTTTTTCTCTCGCCGCCCGCGATAGCCTTTTACGAAAGACGCCGGTCGTCGATTAACGCTTTGAAAATACGATTTCACGTACTGGAGGAATAGACGGGAAAAATATACTTCAAGAGCTAGGAAACTACCCGACAATTCAAAATGGTCAACAAGGTGCTTGCGGCCTTCGTGGTCACCGATGGATTATTCGTTTCTATGGGTGCTATTATGCTGGGCTTCTCTATCATCGTCCAGCAAACCTGTTTCAATACGCCGAACGATGGAAACGAGGCGGCCCGCGATCTTCTCTACCAGAGATTCCCCTTTACTGGTAAGATATTTAACATATAGCGCCCACAGGGCAAAAGTGGTGGTGGGCAATTCATTGCTGACAGATTAATAGCCGGAATCGTCAACGCCATCTTCGTATTGGTAACCTTCTTGGTCACGATCCCCTCGCTGGCGACAAATAACCGGAGCTGGTTGAAACTTGCTGGATACATGATTGTGGTGGATGCCATATTCACCTTGGGTATCGGTGTGGATCTGTGGATCATCACCCTAAAGATGAAGGCCGAATTCCAATCCATCTGGTTCGCCCAACCGGCCAATGTTCAGGAACTGATGCAGACGGCTGTAAGTAGTATCTGTTTTGTTCCCACTTTACCAATGGGGTCTAACTTCGCTGTAGTTCAGCTGCTGCGGCTTCTTCAACAGCAGCTCCCCTGCTTTCATCACCGATACGACCTGCCCTAGTCCTGCCGCCGCCGCCCTTATGAGGGGTTGCGCCACCCCTCTCACCTCGTTCGGAAACACGTTTGTGGACAACATCTTCACGGCCGTGTTCGGTATGGTCGGTATCGACACCATAATGGTCATGGCTATCGCTTGCCTGCTCAAGGACCGAAAGGAGCGCGAACGGTTCCGTTATATCGACGAGAAGAGCGGTGCCCGAGGCACGTTCTAAACCAGCTAGACGATCAATATCTTCCACTACGACGTACTGCACGCCATGGATTGGTTAATGTGTGTACTGCACTGCGGTCACGTAGCGACTTGATTTACCGGAGATAAGAGATCTGTCCGTTGATCCTATTTGACGAACTCTTATGAGATCACGCCGAATAAGGGGACAATGTTCGACTCTAATAATCTATGCCTCAGGGTTTTCGAGCTTGGGATTTTCGAGTAGAAATCTACTCGTACGGAGATTTGCGGGAGTATTGGGGCGTGTTAAGAGATCCTGGGACTAATGTAAATATGGTCTGGTATTTGGATGCGTTCTGGTTTCAGCGTTACTTATATCCTGACCTTTTTTGACCTTTACTCTATTGAAGCTACACTTGACATTGTGTTCTGGAGCTACGATGTACATTTTACATGCGTGATCATCTTCAACGCCATGGTACAGCACATAATAAGCGATTAGGTAGATGGTGTAATTTACGCATAATGATTTAGAAAAAAAACATTTCACTATCCCAATAGATGGTCACACTAGGTGAGAGAAATATAAGTATATTCCAAACTACTCATTCTGCCCAGAAGCGGTTGAATATGACAACGACCGTAATCCTTCATACCCTGGGTGTTGTGATGCCTTCCGGAGTAACAGCACACGAAGTGCATATAGCACACCCCAATTACAAGGTGCCTAGGCCCCCCGTTTGATAGTAAAAGGGCACCAGTCTGTCGGTGCGAGGGAATGCTCAAGATCTTATGAACCAACCCTGCCCAATGTGTATAGTATAACCCGGGTATCGTCAATTCGCGAGTGGTGTTGACAATTTAGTTCTGCGTAAGCAAAAGCGTCAGAACTTCTCCCATAACCAAGTCGTTCGATAAGTATTCGAAAATAACAGAGTCGGTGAGTTTTGGAGCTCGGAAAGACGAATCGAAATAGGCCGGTAGTTAGAAAGTCGTTGTCATATCATCCGTTAAACGTTCTAGAAGAAGTGAAGTCCAAAAAAGGGGTAAAAAGAACAACCCCGTCTCTTTCCATCCATCCCCACGACGTCGTCGTCCATCGGGACACGACAGAACGTCTCCAAGAGACAGCGAGGTCTCAACCAAAGGGGGCCGGCAGAGCAACAGATATCAATCGCGGTAAGCGAGTCGGCTGAAGTCGATCAACAGCAGGTATTCGACCGAGAACCAAAAAAACGAGAAGTCCAGGTTCAATCGGGAAGACCGTGGATAGAAATCGCGCAGGCTCGAGCTCATTTCGCAAGAATCATGTCGTCGTCCAGCACGGCAGCACACTCTTCGAGAAACTCTCTTAGGTGTATCTTCTATCGGAGGAGTCGTATCGACCAAGGTCGAGCGTCAAGTGTGGACGAGTGAAGTGGTCGAGATTGTTCTTGCGCTACCACGCGAGTGGCCAGAGGATTCCAAGGGCACGATTAAGTACTCCATCGATAATCAACCCTGTCACTCAAGCGATGGTAATGGCGCTGGAAGCCCTACCTCGAGACAGTGGATGTCAATCGAGGAGGGCTTCGCTGTGAACCGGTAACCGTGGTCGGCGGGATACTAGGCCGTGAGCATGAACAGAGGAGGCTGTAGCCTGCAAACTCGATTCATCCCAACAGGGCGGCACCACCGGCCCTGGAGGGAGGCAACGACTTGCCCGATCTCGAGAGATAGGGGGTGAAGTTACCTGCGCGGTAAAGCACGAAGAAAGGAGAAGAAAAGAGTAACATTCCACAGGGGGTCACCCGCTAATATATAGGTAATATTCCTATGTGCTATGGCGTAATTATACATTACATAGGCTAGGGGAGCAAGGGGGGCTCACGTGTGACGGGAAGAAGCCTGTTCTCAGCCCATAGTACCATCTTAAGCTTTTGCTCTACAGATTTAGGCGAATCTAATTTCCAATAGTGACACCCGAGGCTTGTCTGTCCGAAGAACTGGGTTTATTTTTGAATTATCTTTCAAGGTTCTACCTCGATAACCTTTTTCGTCAAATGATGTTTGTCCAGTCTGATGGCGACATCTGGATTCTAAGTGAGAATGCCAATACGAGGAACATCCCTTTCGTATCCTGCTGACGAGCAAACCATAATCTTCTCTTCCATTGGATGTTGCTCCGGGGAATCGATCTAAAGCAAGGATTTAGGTCACATTAGCCGCATCTCACACACGTACGTCATCCCGCGTATGGAGCCACTGAGCCATGCCCTTTCAAGAGGACAAACAGGTTTTTTTGGCTTCAATATCTGACGCCACAAACAGCCATAGCCCCGCTCTCTGTGGCGTTCTGGTTTCCCGAATAGGAAACATATCGAGATGCAAGCCACATATCTTTGATCTATGACACAACTTTGGAGCAACTCGGCCCCGTTTGTCTATCAAAGGTTTCGAAAAGGGCAAAGAAGGCTTAAGCCCTATGTACCGGAGCCTTTACACCGGCTCGGTCCCCCAGACGCGCGATTACAGCATGGACGAATCAAAATGCCAAGTGCTCAGACCAATTTGAGCGATGCCCCCTTCTAAGTTTTAGATCATGATGACGGACAAGCAGTGGGGTCGTCACAACGGTATTATCGCGACGCTGTAGTGACGTCAACTCCTTTGATACAAACCATCCACGAGGTCGACTACTCGCCAGACCTTCAGACTGTCAAAGGCCGATACCTTATGCACGTAATTAATATTGGAGATTGGCAGTAATTTGACATACCAGACAGATCACTTCGGTGTCTGAATGGGTACATTGCTCAAATATTCTAGTTACCGTGCCGTGACCCGAGTAGCTCGAGTAATTGCTTTTTGCTGTTTTTAAACCCGGCAATTGGGTACCTGCCACAACAAACGTGCTGGCGGGCTGTAAGTCGCCGCACCTTAGGAAGGAGCGCCCTGAGTAATGATCTCATTGGGTCTCGCTTGTAACTCTATGACCTAACCTTCCTGTAGCTCCTTCTCGAATATCGAAATGTGATATGCGATATCGCTTAGCTGGAGAGCGATCAAAGCTTTCCATTCAACATGTGCCTTTCGTACGTGGGTGTGACTCACATCGTATAAAGTGCCTTGACTCTTCCCTTTATCACAAACTGTATCTAGATCTGTAGACTAAAAGATTCCAGAACCAACGCTTCTACTATTTGAACAGACCAAAAAAGAAACTTCAAACCATCAAGTTACCGTTCTATCTCTAAACCTCTAAACACACAAGCTATTCACTACGAAAACCAGCTTCATTACTACCACCAACATTACCAAGGAATACCCTACCAACCTATCAACCTACCAAACCTAACCGCAAACATGGGTGCCGTAGTATCTTGCGTAAGTTTTCTAACCCCTCGGACCCTCTCCACATGCCATCTGCTAACGCGCACAATCAATTAGGTTGAGTCCGTCTTCCGAACGATCGGTAGCGTGATCATGGCCATCATCGCCGGCGTCGGCAACATCCTGCAAGCTATCATCAGCGGCATCGTTACCTTCTTCGGCATCATTGTCTCCTTCCTGACCTGCGGCTACTGCAGCAGACGCCACAGCACCACGACGGGCGGTGGCATGGGTTCGTCCACCGGGACGCGGCGCGGTTGGGGAAGACGTCGCCACGGTGTCACCACCACGAGCCGCATCTAGTGAACGGGGGAGATGCGGAAAGACGGGTGGAGTTGAGATGGAAATGAGGGATGAGATGATACCTGGAATGCGGTAGACCGGCGCGATGAGTTAAGACGAGAAGAGATGGAACTTACCAGAGTCTTCACGAATGAATATTACGATACCCCTTCCCTTTTCTTAAAAACGCTGTACATGAATACTTTCTGCTCTTGTTTACGCTGCGAGAAGAAATGCGATGGATAATCCATAGCACCTAGAAAGAAGAATAACGGTCAACTTATTCTTAATCACATTAATCTTCGTGTCAAATATTCGTGATCATGATTCTATCGTTTTAATCGTACTCCATCCAATTATCTGGAGCATATACAACTACTTGGGTAGGTTCAATCATCAATATCGATCAAATTCCGATTGAAGAACCCGTGAACCTGTCTCGCCGCCTCCCTCCCAATAAGCGGGTCCATCTCTTCCACGCTCATATTCGCTACATCTCTCACATTCTCCGCCTCCAGCGTCAAATTCTTCAAGTTCTTCGGCGTAACGCCCGGCACGACGCCCAGCATCTCGTGCGGCTCGAGATTGAACGCCTGGTCCTCGGCCTTCGCGTCCTTGTCCAAGCCCGCGCGGACCGCCGCCACCGGGTCCGGCTCGTCCTGCTGCGTCTTGAGGCCCTCGAAGATCTCCGCCGTCTGGTACGGGCTGCTGCTCCAGATGACCCTCAGCCGCGGGAAGGCGAGCGTGAGGAGCACGATCTTGGACTGCAGGTCCGACGGCACCTCGTTGGGATTGACGGACTTGAGGTTGCCCGACAGGTCCGCGAACGGCTCGAGCGTGAACGACTTGTTCTGGTCGAACTCGATGAGCAGCATCGGGTTCTTGTAGTGCTGGAACATCGCCTCCGCTTGCGTGAACAGTCGCCCGTCCTTGAACGAGCCGATTAGATCGCTGATCGACTTGCGCTCGACGCAGATGTTGGGCGATAAGATGTAATCCCCGACCGTGAGCATACATGGCACGATGATTATGTTGCGCCCGTGCAAGAGGGAAGGGAGGGATGACCGGAACTCCCGCACGTCGACGACAACCCTGGGAGGTTGTGCCGTAGCTGCTAATCGGCCACCGCCGGCTATTCGGGTGTTCACTGTTCTTAGAAATGCCTCTTGAGGGTCCTCTACACCGTGAGAATCAACTGTCATGACAATAGACATGCTGGCTCGCTCTTTGATGAGCTTAGTAAACGATTCCTTCTCTCGTCGGACTGTAGCAAGGTACCGTTGTTCTTCAACAGACCCGCCATAGAACATGAAATATACCCGGACGTTTCTGTCATTATGAGATGACCGATAAACTTCGATTCGGCGTATGAAGGAAGCGTCTGGTTCATACATGATTATATATCTTGGTTTCACCTCTTCGAGGACATGTTCATCCTGATCACCCTCGTAAGCATGTACTACGACTAGATCTTGCATCTCATAAAGCTCGAAATAATCGTCCATGTCTTCTAACGGATCATCAATGATGCTGGCTTTCTGATTCGCTTCTTCTTCTGTAATTTGCATTTCGTCCATGAGTTCGGCAACTTCACTAGGCTTTTCGAAGTACTGAGCCACACTGCCATTAGCAGTTCTGCCCGGTGCCGCACCTGTAGAGCCACCTCCTCGCACTCGTCGCCTTTTGTTCGCTGGTGCTCTCCCCTTGTATGTGCCTTGGGCTATTCGTGGGTCGACCGCTCCCTCAAGAGCCTTTTGATTTTCGGTTAGTAAAGCATTGCTGACCTGCGCGAATTCTTTCTTCCAGTTGAGATAGCTTCGAAGTTTCCTTCTCATCATAAATGCTCCAGAAGTCTTATGTTCTTCCTTGCCCTGCTTTCCGTCGCTTTCAGCTTTGGGTTTCACATGCATTGTTTGCAGATAATCTCGGAGTTGACGAGTGGTCGCAGTATCAGAACACATGATAAGGATGGTTCCATTAGAATCATCTCTCATCGGAGGATCGAAATATAAGTCTCTGTCAATTTCCTCTAAGATCTCTGCAAGGAGAGCCCATTTTGGCTGCTCTTCTAACACTGGACGGAGGGAATCGAGAGATGATTTCGCATTAGCTTTAGCATTGCTGGCATATACTCTCCGTTTGGCGGTATCGAAAATTGTATGGGCAGCATCGAGGAATAACCACGGAGATTGAGACTGTCTTGTGGATCCTGGCTGCGGGGAGTGCGCAGCATGAATGGTGTCCAAATGTTGTAGGAAAGTCACACTATCCAAGGCTAGGACTGAGTGTAACAGACCGCGGAGAACTGTCAAGTCGCTGACAATCTGCTTCGTCTTCCAACTGACCCTGTGCCAGTTTGGATCTAGTTGTCTTCGAACCATGACATCAAAATTCTTTAGTAATGCGCTATCAAGATTCCAATCGTCCATTTCTAATCCCGTATTGCTCTTCTTCAGCTCGTGAATACTAACTTCGACGCATTCCATGATCGCTGTTTGGATATCTCTCATCGCGTCGGTCATGGTTACTTCTAACTCGATGACCTCTGCCTTCTTTTTGCCTTCGAGGGAGCTAGCTACTGTCATGTGGAATCTCGGCCATAAGGAAGCCTTTCGAAGGAATAGATTCCTCATTATCGTAGCCAATGGAGAAAACCCAATGGTGAAGGGATCCGGATTATCAGAGAACGCTTTAAGAAAACCGTTCTTATTCTTTTGGCGATATACTCGAAGGATGAAGGCCTCAAGCGAGGTTGCTATCACCTTGTCGGCGTGTAGCACAATTAGACCAGTGATGGTCTCTGGATCGAGAAGACTCGTCAAAAGATCGACGACTAAGATTCGAGAAGTAATGCTATATATTCCACCTTTTGCGTACATCTTCTCCCTGGCCGCGACACTGGTGAAGTCGGTGTTTACTACAGTCAGACCTCTTGCTCTGGGAGCCATGCTGATGGCAGCAGATTCGGCGAGAGCCTCCCCCATCCAAGCATTTTCCCTATCTTCGGCACCTACGACTATTATCAAGTTATTTCCGGCGGCATCGTAGCTATGTAGTAGATTGGTAACGAGGCGCATAAGGCCGAGGCCTTTCGCAATAACGACGAGTTCATCTTCGGCGCGAAGTTCTTGGAAGAGGTGCTGCTGATATTCCTAGATAACATCATACGAAGTTAGACAATTCATGACCTATCGTCAGAAATCCCAAAAGTCCGAGGGGCCATACGAGAGGCAGTGAAAGCTTCACCGGTTGAGGAGCATTGTTCGCAGACATGCGGGGCACGCCTTTCAGAGAAACGCGATAACCAAAAGTCAAGGGTCCTCGCGCATGTTCGGTTTATTCGGCCTGTTCGGTTAGGATATCATCCTATTAGTCGAGGTAGTGTTGTCGGTTGTACCATTCGAATGTACTTGACGGGTAGTACGTAAGTGTCTACGTATGATGTAGACGCTTAGAAGTTGTAGATCGAAAGACCAAATAGGCATCAATCAATTGAAAGCCAAACGCACCAGTGGTTTAAGGTGCCTGGTATGCAGTCGCGCTTGCAAATCCGGGGTTGTGCACCTGCCGCCACTGTGACGCCGGGTCACGGGCACTTGCGGATCCCTGAGTTAAAGAGTCCCAAGGTTCTAGAAGGTCGAAATCTATACGTCATCACCCGTCGAAAGATGTTACACCACGTAGTACATATGTGTGTAGAATTGATACAAGAATATCATTGTTCGTATAAAAGTAGCCTTTAGTAAACCCTATGAAGTCTCTGTTTTTAGACTTGAATTTATTCAACTCGACAAAACTTACGATAGCTAAGTCAATAACAAGAACTCTTAAACAATCCACTAAAATGCCTGACACTACTTACCCCACTGCTCAGGTATGACTTCAAGACTTAAACAATTTACCTATGAAGAGGGCACATTAGCTAACCGAATAGGACCCTCAGACCGGCAAGATTGATGCCGACTCTCAGGCTCAGCCTGCTAGCGAGGCAGCTCAGCCACAGGGAGCGAAGCAGTTCGCTTTCGCAGCCCACCAGGCGCACCCAGGCCCTGCTATTCCCCAGAACATGCCAGAGCAAGAAGGGACCAAAGAAGAGCGTAAGGCAAAGGCTCAGGAGCTGAACAAATAAATCTGTTCGTAAAGACAACCTTGGAAACATGGAAGTACACCCGGTTTTGGGTGGTCATGGCTCAGAATGATTCTATGGCATAGGACGGGAAAATCCTGAAACGAAAACCGAGGTGTCAAGCTCGCACCTCATGTAATACGACTGTAATAGCACAGACATGATTATGAATGAGAATATTGTAACCTGTCTTGAATATGTTTACTGTACACAGGCCGCCGTTGACATATAGTGAATCCATGGACGTTTGAGAATGAATCAATATATTGCTGTTTAGGCAGCCTTATTTGACTAGCCGTAGCTGTAACTTGGGTGACCGGCGGCAAAGCGGGATGACGTACTTTTGTGATATGCAGTGGCGTACCTAATTGTCCATTGCAGATAGACATAGGTACCGTAAGGATTTCCCGGAAGCGTTCGGCAACTCATTGTTTAATATAGACGTTCGTAGATATGTTGCATGGGTAGTAGCATTCGGAATATTCATACAAGCCTATCGCCAACTCACCGAGTCTTGGATTGAGTTGACCGCTTTCTCTGTCCACAATCCTCAATAAAATTGGGATTAGCAACACGGCGGTTTGGGCGGGGCATCCCGAAGGTCGGGTCAGTAGCGGGGCTCATACAAAACCTTGAAATTTAGGTTAGTTCTTTTCCTCATATGGGTAGCGTGGAATATAGACTGTTCAAAGTGGCGGTGCTCATAGGTGGCGTCTTCGTCTTTTAGTCGTATTCCATTGGTCGGTTCTCTCGTCAGCGATTTCTAGTTCTTCTAGGTCACAGCCAAACTTGGTGATGACGGGCGGGTTTCCGCAACGTATCGCAAGGATACATCCTTCGTAGTCACGAAACGTCTTTTCCGAAATTAATTACTACACAACTACCTACACAGGCTACGACGAAACGGAAAGTGAAAATTGAGTAACTTTCTTCTTGTTTCTCTATTGTTCAAATATCTTCGTTTGGCCTTTGGCCACTATTCCCATATCAAATATTACTACAGAACCGAAATAGGATCAGCTTGATCAGCCTCTGACATTTGGCTACCTCCCAATCATCTCACAGGGCTCCTGTCAACGTCCCAACCAACTAACTGGCCAACCAACCGCCCGTTATTTGGCAACTCGGTAATCCTGCGTAACCGCCGCTCGCCAATCGACCACCTCTACACTCAACTTAGGTACCATACTGCGAATAGACCGCGTACGCTACAATACATACTACATCACCTATTATACCATTCCATCCATCACACCCATTCCGCTCGGCGCAGATTCGAATTCGAGAATTCGATTCGATTGTATCCTCAATTCAATGATTACTTAGTAGTGCCTAGAAGTAATCACGCCTAAGTTGGAGATAGCCACCGACTTGCTGCTATACTCCTTTCTTTAAGCCCCCTAATAAATCACACGACCTCATCACAACCACCACCATGCCGTCCATACTTAGCGAAGAAGATAAGGAGACTGTCAGACGAGTAGTGCCAAAACATACAAACAAGATACAGGCCGTAGCTGTCGCGAGGTTATATGTCGCTTACCCAAATCCTTCAAAATGGACGTACACCGGCCTACAAGGGGCTATCGTGCTCTCCAACGATCTGGTAGGAAATACGTATTGGTTAAAGCTCGTCGACGTATCTGTGAGTTACCCTGTCTAATTCATAAGCTCTGCCCGTGCATGCTAATTCCTAATGATCCATAGCCTACAGCTCGAGGTGTGATATGGGACCAAGAAATATTTGACACTTGGTCTTATAACCAGGATCGAACCTTCTTCCACTCCTTCGAGCTCGAGGACTGTTTAGCCGGTTTATCTTTTGTCGATGAAAAGGAGGCTAAACAATTTAAGAAGAAGATGGACGAGCGGGAAAAGAATGCGTCTAAAGCCACGAAAAATACTCCTTTCGGCGGATCATCACAGCAACCTGTCAAGCAAGGGTTCTTTGGGAGCATCTTTGGAGGACATAGACATTCCTCGGCACCCACGCCGCCCGATTCACCTCGCAGCAGTCTCCCACCTTCGCTTCCCGATGCTAGAACATCTGTGACAAACGTTAACGGGTTCCAAAAACCGCCGTCAAAATTCGCTAAGCTAGAGGCATATGATCCGAACTGGCGAGACAATTTTGGGAATTTCCTCTCAGAGCAAGGGCTTACCGACGAATTCATAAGAGAGAACCAGGATTTCATTGTCGAGTTCTTGAAGGAGCAGGGTGGTGGGATATCTCACAATGGAATGCCAGTTGCGACAGCACCTCCACCGCCGCCCCCTCCACCTCCGTCAGGTAGCAGCTCATCACTCAATGGTAATAGCCATAGTCACGGTCATGGTCGAGCGCCCCCTCCTCCTCCGCCTCCACCATCGGGAGGTCCACGTTCAACGTCGGAAAGCTTAACATCATCGGGCTCCCGCCGTGGTGTTCCTCCACCTCCACCTGCACCTCGCAGGTCTGGCAAGATGGAACTCGTTCACCGAGAGCCGACACCGCCGCAAGAGCCAATCCCTCCACGACCGCGATTTAATGCGCCTCCTCCCCTGCCCGATGCTGGCAAATACGCCCATAATGAACCCGCACCTCGAGCTCCTCCTGGACCGGCACCTCCTCCCAGACCGCCTAAGACGCCAATGGAAGAACAGGAGGAGAAGCCTTCGGGGCACAAATTTGGGGTGCCTCCCGCTTTTACTGGCCAAAGAGCTCCACCACCACCGGCTAGGGGTCCGGTGCCTCCTCCACCTCCGCGAGAACAGCCTCAAGCAACACCACCTCCGCCGCCGCCAAGTCTACCGCCGAAGTTGCCCACCGCAAGCCCACCACCGCCGGCACCGATGGCACCTCCCCCGCCTCCTGCCTCTACTCGGCCTACTCCCCCACCTCCTGCGCCTGCTCCTCCGCCTCCCGCGCGGAGTCCACTTTTGCCACCACTTCCGGCGCCGAGTGCGCCAGCTCCGCCTCCATTGCCTCAATCATCGGCACCACCACCACCTCCCCCCTTACCCGGAGCTGGGGCTCCTCCTCCACCCCCTCCTCCACCACCACCGCCAGGACCAGCGGGAATTCCAGCTCCTCCTCCACCTCCCCCACCAGGTGCAGGTATCCCGGCAGCCCCCCCACCACCGCCTCCGAACCGCGATTCGGGCTACTCCTCTGGTGTACCAGCTCCTGCCGCGCCAGCAGCAGACTCTACTCGCTCCGCCGTGTTGGACAGCATCCAGAAGGCCGGTGGAATTGGGTCGCTCAAGAAGGTGGATAGGAGTCAGATTAGAGACAGAAGTGCGGCTACGGTCGGGGGCGGATCAGACACAGGACCGCACGGTAGCGGACTGCCGCCTGCTGGTATTGCTCCCGGAGGCGGTGGTGGTATGGCCGATGCATTGGCTGCGGCGTTACAGAAGCGGAAGGAGAGAGTTCGTGATAGTGGTAAGTTTTTATTTGTTCTAGCGTCAAGCCTAGAATCAGAGGTTGAGATACTAACACTTCGGCAGATGATGAGAAGAGCGATGATGAGTGGTAGAGCCGCATTCGCGAAATTCACTCATAGGAAATGGCCATGTTGGCCAGTCATTAAATAGGGGGATATGAGTATGGACTTGGAAGTTGAAGTCCGTCGAAGAATTACGTTACACAAGCCTACCGGGCTGAAGCCCGTGAGACTATTTAAATATATCAGACAATGAGAATTCCGTTTCAACCGGAATATCGCACCAGTTATTAAACGGTTCTTGCGAGAACTAATAAGTCAAGCTAGCCATGCATTCCTTGCGAGGCCTCGAAAATGATCAATGTAACACTAGCCAAGAGCGCAAACTGGGTTGAAGGTCAGCACAGCGCGTCATTTTGCATACTAGCTGTACCAGCACCGGCCACTACGCTCACACGCCTGCGAAGCAGGATTTATTCTTATTCATCTACTCTTAACACTTCACGCGGTCATAGCAAAAAGGAGGGGAAAGGGGGGAGACGAGAGCAAAGGAATTGTGCGAGGCGACATGTGAACAGGAGGATCTCGAGCAAATTCGAGCAAAGAACCCCATAAACACAACGCAGAATGCCAGGAAAACTCATTTATCAACATCGATACTGTTATTAGAACATCGGAGGGGCTGGGCTCGAAAGCATTTCTTCGTCGGATTCCAAAGCCAGACAAGAAAAAGACGAAGACGGGTCAGGTTGTTCTTGCTCAGGTCGGGTTTTCGGGGTATACTGGTTCAGCTGTTACTTCCGCACACACACACACATTCCAAACACCCGGCGAAATGTCGAGACTTTGATCGGGAGAGGTGTTTTAGTCGAGCTTGCTTTTGAAGCCTTGGGGCTGGAGCGGAGCGGAGTGGAGTGGACAGCGGGGTGGAGTGACTTTTGGGTTAGGGATAGAAGATGCTTTAGAGAATTGGCAATCAATCGATTATTAAAATCTTTTTCATTTCAAGAAAAGGCGTTCTGTGTTACGAGATCGTATTAAGTCAAGTCAAATCACAGAACGGCTTAGGTGCCTTAGAACTGATTATACTAGGTATGTCAAGCACGCAGTAGAGCATGTATACTGGGGGAAAGGCGTTTTGTATTGAGAACCAGCAGTAACAGACTACCTATGAGTGCTCGTGATGGGTGTCATTACATTATCATTATGCCGATGATCTCCTCTCCATGCCTTGCCAAAACCAGTGTGTGAAATGTGCAAATCTGAAAGTGAAAAAAGCAAACCAGTCTTATGAATTGCCAAGCGGCAAAGGGGCTACGACGTCTCTCCCACCGTAAAACCCTGCCACTAGCCTGAAGTTGCAATCGTCCGACTGTCGTGGAACCCAGAATAACAGTAGGAGCAAGACATCCGGGTTTGAGAGAGAAGACAGTGTTTTTCCCATGGCCGAGAAGGTTTATCGTGGACGAGGTTGCAAAGCGTTACGACATAAACCGATAGACCAGGTGGGCGAATGCTTCCATTTCTCCTCGAGAGTGAAGGTAGAACAACAGAAGATCAGATGTCGTCGATGTCGACTTCCTTACCGCCGGCGGCAGCGTCTCCATCTGTCTCGGAGTCGCGATCCTCGTCGAACTCGAAGCCGCACTCGCCTTCGTCGTTGGGACCGTAGGTATCGGTCTCGTTGATCTTGGCGCTCTCGGGGAGTTCGCCGTAGGCCTTGAGGGAGCGGGCCTCGTCCGCCGAGTACTTCAGGATAACGTCACCCTTCTCGTCTTGGTAGTCGCGGAGAGAGAGCAGGATGATGTCTCCGTTGTTGATCCAGACCTTCTTGCGAAGCTTGCCGCGGATGTGGGCTAGGCGCTTAGCGCCGTCGAAGCACTGCGCCTCGAGACGGCCGTTGCCGAGCATCTTCACAACTTGGGCATACTCTGTTATGGCGATGTGTTAGCTATTTACTCATTTTTTTCCCCTTGGCCGAGTCATCCTCGACGTGTATATACATATAGAGATATAATTTTACCCGGAGGTATATAGGGGGATGGTGTGTCGGCTGGTATATGACGTACCTTGTCCGTCCTCCTTGAAGGTCAACTCGCGCTTCTCGTTGTCGTTCTCGTTCTTTCCACGACGACGGTTCTTACCACCCTATTTGTCATAGTGTTAGCCAAATGTTGGTATTAGATATGTGAAACACTGTAGTGAGAAACAAGTGTGTAGATGTTGAAACAGTGATCAGTCTTCGAAGTGCTCTGATGTTTCACTTCGTTCGGCTGATACCATGTGTTACGATCCTAATAAAAACAAGCTGACGACGTGTAGTCGAAAGCTGATTTTTCTTAGGATCGCCGCCTTTTCGCGTGGCTGTATTTCACAAGCCGATCACACACAAAGGTAGAAAAAAATAAATATTGGGATCGGTGGCGGGGTTGACGCCGAATATTTGCACGTACCTTTCCCTTGTTCTTAGGCATGGTGTTTGACTAGATTGATTTTTGTCGTAATAGAGTGATAGATGAGATCGAAGGCGATTTTTGGGAGCGACGATTGTAGTCGCGAAAGGAGTTGTGAGAAGTTGAGGTTTGTTGATCAGTGATCGTTGTTCTTGTTAGGAGTAAGAAAGTTGCGTAGTGACGAGGGGCATTTAAATAAGATAAACCCGTCAGAAATCAGCAAGTGAGTAATAGCGGGGTGGGCGACGGCTTTGTGGATATTTAGCGCTACTTCGGACATAGCCTTACTACTGCACGTACCTAGGGAGGCGTCTTCTAGGTGGCGCATAGTGGGGCAGTTCACTGTTTTAAATTGGAAACAGCATCTGTTCTTATTGGCTATTTTGGTCAATCTCAGACTAGTAGGTATTTCCAGGGACAGAATACCCAGAATTATACTGTGATGGTATGCTAAGTGGAAGTATCTTTTTACTAACAGTACATTTGTGCGCTGCTCAATACTAAGGTAATTTTTAGCCTCACCTGCCGAAGAATACCAGCATAAAAACTTTCCCAAGGCTGACCCGCATACCTATTCGAACTTCTTACTTTTCCCGGTCTGACCAGAATTATGAGTTGCTTGACAACTATCTGTTAGACAGGGACCGGCCTAGGTAGATCATGACAAGCTGGCTCCTCGGCCGGCCCTCTGGACTACCACGATTTGCGCCTTATCTCCTTACCCTTCGACGATGTGCAAGCAACGGAAACCCGTACGGAAATATAAGCCCAGAGGGGATTCTTCTGTCGGGGGAAATTGGTGCGGGTGAACCAGTCCGCTCAGTATCCAGAAAATACCAGATTTCTCTTCCTCACCCACGCGTCTTCCGCCACATACCGATGGCTCAGATGAAGATAAAGGACAATCCATGCAAGCTGAGTATACAATACGCCCAATGCCACGTTTTCGATGAGGCTTCGACCAAGTACCTCGACAAATATGAACATCCATTTGCGAAATCGGTCCTGAATATGTACATCAAAAAGAAGGAGACTCCTCTATGGCATAAGGTGTTTGCTCGCCCCGAGGCCAAACCATTTCCGTGTAGAGTTGCGACGAAGAGAATTCGACACGCATTCTTAGACGCATTGGCATACCATGGATATGATCGAGATGGCAGAAAGATCACGAAAGATAATTCGAGTGTAATTGCGGCCTTGCACGGGACTGTGAAGTTGGTTTGCGGAGATCCGAAGGCCGCCTGCAATATCAAGTTCGCGGATCTCTTGGAGCAGGCCAAACTGGTAGTGGCCGGGATTGAACCAATGCTCGCGAGGGACAAGAATGGGCAATATATCATAGCCCCCCGACAACAAACCAGAAACCCAAACAATAAGTCGAACAAGTCGAACAGGTCGTATGATAATAACAACACAGGCACGCGCTCTGGCACACGACCAGCACGGCGTTACTAGCACTCCTGTTAGATGATTCATATACTCACAATATAATCATATGGAACTTATAATATCCGTGTACAATGCGCGTACTATATGGGAATCTGAGTAGAGGCAATGCTGTAGTATAGAAATACATATGTATGAATGCAGTTGTAGCTGTATGCATCGATTCCGTGCTACGGGATATGGATTGGATATGACGCTGGATGGATCTCAATATAAGTACCTCGGTACCTAGTCTAAGGGTTTACCTAGCGTACCCATGGTAGTCACAATCGTCCTCTTCTGAAATGTGGTTACTCTGGGAAAGGAGACATTACAAGATCGCCTGTTTTATGGTTTATTATACATCTAGATACATAGTGCCTACCTAATTATTTGCATAAGAGTTTGCGGGGTGGTGGAAGTACCGATGTGTCGACGCTTCCCTAGCAGATTCGATACGTAACACGTGGGATAATTTCCTGAGACGCGAAATCGAATCGCCGCCCCAAATTTATTAAACGAAAGGTACAGATCTCTAACTTACTACCAACTACAACCAAAACTTCATATTTGGCTACTGGCATTTAATTCATTTCGAATTTTGCGTCCTGATTCCTCAGTGACAATGCTGGTCTCTCTCACCGTCGGCAAGGTCGATGCCGGCGTAACTGTTCTGTTAACGCCCGATAAACGTTTGGTATGTCGTTATTGCAGCTCCGTCTCCCAGCTCTCATCTTCCATCTCCTCGAGTGCTCGAGAGCTGTCGCAATCCATCGCACAAGCGCTAGAAGCCCCCTATACGCTCTAAAAGAGTCAATCAGAGAGTAATGAGTCTAATGTGAAATTCTAGATCGAATTCCCCTCTATTCTCTTACCTCCCAATATTGTCTCGGGCTCTATAGTCGATATTACCGTCGCTCGCAACAGTGACTCCGAAGCTAAAGCAGAGGCGCGATTCTCGGCCCTCCAAGATCAAATCTTTTCCTCCTTTGGCGCTTCGCAGCCTAGCACACCTGTCCTCCGCTGCAGAAATGCTACTCAGACCTCCGTAGTCCTTGAGTGGGATCCGATCGAACTCGCCACCGCCGACCTCATCTCCCTTTCCCTCTACCGCAATGGCCAAAAGGCCGGTAACATCCCTCGGCCTTTGCATATGCACAGCACCAAGATTAGTGGTCTTGCCGTCGACACGGAATATTCATTCCATCTCGTCCTGCGCACCACCGCAGGCACATTTGCCAGCAAGCAGGTTGTCGTCCGTACTCACAAGATGACAGACTTGAGCGGTGTCACTATTACCACCGGCATCCTCCCACCGTCTACGCGCGAAGAGCTCGCTAAGGCTGTCGAGCGCATCGGCGCTAAGATCGTCGATGGCGTGCGCATCGACACCACGCACTTCGTTACTACTGAAGGCCGTGGTGTACCATGGGAGAAGGCAGTTGAGATGAATATCCCTGTCGTGCGACCCGAGTGGGTCGAGGCTTGTGAGAAGAATGGCCGTATTCTAGGTGTCACCAAGTTTTATTTGGATGCACCAAGAGCCAATATTCCAAGCTCCGAGGAGGTGCAGAGGACGGCGTCGCCTCCCACGCCGGCACAACAAAATCAGAAGGACCTCCCACAGACTCCAAGTCAGGCTAGAGAGAGTAAAGAAGTCGAGACGAAAAAGGAAGAGAACAAAGAGGAGGAGGAGAGCAGTGAGGAGGACGAAGAAGAAGGCGCAGGAGACGAGGAGAAGGCAAAGGCCACGGAGGAACAGAAGGTGAGGCTCGAGGATAAGGATACTCAAAAGGTCGCTCTGCGACCTGGCCAGCCATCATCACCCGATAAAGAGACCGCCGAGGATGCAAGCGAGGAAGGAAATTCAGAGGATAAGCCCGAGCCTTCACCCGGTGATGGGGCATCGTTCCAAGATGTAGCGCTATAGGCATGATCTACGACCCGAAGTGCTCGTTAGCATGGAGTTTTCAGAGGTTTCCAAAATACCCGGCCAGGTAATAAAAATGGCAGTTCTCATCTTGGACTATTCTTATACCTGTGTACAGTAGGAATGCGGGAATATGTCACATTGACGTCTTGCAGTCACGTTTATTCGTATAGCTCTAGTAATTTAGGATGGGCTGGAAAGGTATTTTACTCGAACCGGATCCAACCCAGTAGGATAAATAAGGTATATTTTCTGGCTTCGCGTGGCACACTATAGGGACAATGTTCTTCCTCGTTCAGAGTCAACCGCTTGAGAATGGGGATATTGGAACTTAGGGCGGTTGCATGGCGAGCTCCTAGGAATATTTCTCCGATTTTCGATGTCATAGCCGATTTTCATCCCAGTTCCTTTTAGATGCAAGCTGCTGATGATGTCGAGCCCACACTTTGAAATCAGACTCCCCTTAACCTTTGCCCGCATCCTCCTCATTTCAAGGCAACACCTCTTCTCCCCTCCAATCCCAACACCGGCCGCGATGCTCCGCCACCCGCCTCGTCCGAACTATCTCGACCATCCTCTCCGCCGCGTACTCGGGCGTAAACAACTTCTCCGGGCGCACTCGGTCCCAGTACTCTCGGCTCAGATCCGTTCGCACGGTTCCCGGGTGGTACGCTATAGAAACGGCCTTGTCACCGGACCGGTTACGCAGAAACAAATCGTACGTCCGCGCGAGGCTGATAACGGCGGACTTGGACGCCCGGTACGTGTACCATCCTCCCAGCCGGTTATCGGAGGTCGAACCTACGCGCGCGGAGGCGAGGAGGAACGTCGCGTGCGGTGAAGCCTTTCCCTTACCACCCCCCTCTTCCCCTCCCCGGTCCTCGGACTCAGACTCAGAAGTAGTAGGTAAAGCGGAAGTGAATAAAGGATCCAGAGATACCTCAACGCTCTTCCGAGGCAGGAAGTCGCCGAACCATTTCATCAGCATGAGCGGGCCTAGCACGTTGACCCGCAGCGTGCGCAGCGCGGCGTCGTAGTCCACGTCCGCGGGGCTCTTCTCCGGGCGCAGCACGCCCGGCAGCGCGAACGCGAGGCGCAGGTGGTGCGTCTCCGCGGGAAAAAGTCGGCGTGCTTCCGCGGAGGCGGAGGCCAGGCTGGGTTCGGAGGTCACGTCGAGGTGGGTTAGGTGCAGACGTTTGGATACCGCGTCTTTCTCTTCGGAAGAGGTTGTGGAGAGGGAGTTAAGGATGGAGGACCGCACGCCGGGCAGGTCAGTCCGCGCTGTTGCGAGGATCGGGGCTGTGGTTGTGCGCAGGAGGTGTCGTGTCAGGGCGTGCCCGATTCCGCGGCTGGCTGGGGATACGAGGATCCAGGGCTTGGACATTGGAGGTTCTTGGGAGTAGGTTGTTGTTTTCGTCTTCTTATATATTCCTCTGATAACTTACCTCTGGAAACAATATTTTCACTATATGGTATTGACTAATTCGTAATAACGCACATACAGTAGCGTTTTGAGATGTTGCGAAGCTCTGAAATGCTACGATTCTCGAGGTCAAATCCATGGTCCATGATTCATCACTATCGATCTATATGCAGTTTTGGGAATGCAGCGATCGGCCGAGGGTTTTCAATGCGAATATCGTTAAGATTTTTCATGCCTTTTAAAATGCTCTAGTATAAATCACGGTTTTATCTTGGTCAATATTCTTTCAATACCGTGCCGGCGAATCGCGATAGCAATCTGATTACTACCTCTATCATTGTGTACTCAACTAGGCTTCTGCTAATTGACACATTAACGGCATGCCCATAGATCCTGTAGGACTCATCAGCATCAGTGAGGCAAGCATCGTAAGAGTTCATATTCCATGTTTTATTTCGGTGATTCAGAATCGGTTAATAAATATTGAGGCCAGTCCATTATATCGGATGAATAGTATGCAATTGTTTGCCAGAACTTACCAAAACACATTCTCGGGTCAGCCCAACCTCTGAGATATGAAAACAATCTGTGAGACATGATAGACATGATCTCTCATCTACGCGACCCCCTCATGCAAAATTTGAACCTTCGATAATTAAGGCAAGATCAGCATAACTCCAACATAATCTCTCAGCAACCTAAAGACGGAGCTCCGTTGAGCATCGAGTATAGAGTCATCAGCGAAGATACCTAATCAACCGCTTTCTGGGCCGATAATACTGCCTCCGAATTTTCTTTTGAGGGTAAATATGATATGTTAGGCCGAAGTGTCTCGCTCGGCTATCTTCATGTACGATTCGTTAACGAAACGACATCCCCAAACCTCTGGGAGAGCTGCAGGTGGTTATCATCATCCCCGGCAATCCGCTGCCATGGTAATGCACCTAGGTAATCTTCAACCTCCATGTATGGAAATAGGAAGATGGCCCGGCCCCTATACTAGTTTTAAGCAATCGTAGGCCGACGCGTCCTTGAAGTGGATTGGTAATTTTCAATATTCTATGTAGAAGATGATTGGAATTGACTTGTCAATTAGGAGCGTAGATGGGCTATTCGAGTTAACGGATAAACCAATATGGACCTTCTAGAGGGCTAAATGGCATACAGTTAGGAGCAAATATGCACGAAGGAAAAGTTAACAATCGTATAATTGTATTAAGCGAAGGTTTTGCTTTCCGATATATTTCCATCCCTGCGAGGATCTCGGAAGCTTTGAATTAAACTTTAACATCAATGTCTCACAACTCGACCGTGACAATGACTCGTAATCAAACACATTCGACTGCTGGAAAGCTTCCAGGCTTCGAAATATTCCATTACCAAGGCACCTAGGACAACAATATTACGCATCGGTGACCCTGGACTAGAACCCAGGTAGCGATTAGTAGCCAGGGACGAACCTAGGTCCAGTATGTTCCTATATCGATCGTCCGTCCTTAGCCTCTATTCGAACAATGTTGACAGGAAAAGCAAGTTGATTGTACGACAGGCTTTTCTAGTTGTCTAGCACATCTCGTTTTCGTGTCTCGCGAACATGTTTCAACATCGTTCTGGAGTCACTTTAACCAGACGAACATACTTCGTTACTTGTCACATTGTTCGTCCCAAGCCATCCGTCGATGTCAAAGCTGCTAGTGCTCTGACTCGAGACAGCTCACGCTTCCAAGATTCCAAGTTTCTAAGATTCCAGCAGGCAGTCGAGTGCCTGGATGGTCGTGAACCAAGTTGCCCAGCTTATCCTTGATAGGCTAGTCAGTATTCACTTGCTCGTGCCGATCACAGGTCGTTAGTCGAACCTTTGCCTCTCTGCCATGCCAAACTTAGATGGAAGGTGATATTTGACTTTCTCGGCTAGTTGCCGACCTCTTCAATCGTTTCTCTTCGCCTTCCTTTAGTTGGGGTCCTTCTCCGCTTCGTCATGCTGCCATTTTTAGCTACTTCTACCTATTCCCCAATAAGTCTCTATTGTTCTTTCGAAAAGGCCCGTAAGGGGTTCATATTATGTCTAAAATATTCAACAAGTTGTCGTGCCAGCCTTTTTATTGAGGGATAGTTCTTCATAATACTCGAGGGAATCCTCGCGTGTTGATGCTGGGAACCTCCACGGGCGTGAATATACCTGACTCCCAAAGCTCTGGGTCTGGCCATGTCACGAACAATCGGAACAGCTGATGATGAGGTAAAAGTGGCGTATGCTGTCTCCATTCACACATGGAAGCTATCTGTAAAAGAATAGGCTTTCTCCCCTTTCGTCGTCTCCGCATACGCATTTTTAATTATGGAGAGCATCTTCCTAAGCTCAGTCAGCTTGGGTATCCTGGTGGAAAAGGAAATTGTGGTGCGCATAGAAGACAAGGCCAAAGGAGACTCGACACCGTCTCACCCATCCTCTGTTGCATCTGTCGTTCGCTCTATCTCCAACTTGACGAGGGAAACGAAAACATCTGAGCTGCGTGAGACGACCTCGTCTCTGCCATCTGGCAAGATGCTTGCTCGTCCTAACGTCAGCGAGGATTGTCGAAAAGACCTCGTAGCCTTCTTTCACGGGCCTCCACCTCCGGGAAATTTCATGTCAATACCTGACGATGCGAGCATTTCTTCGGCTGATGGTAAATGGGGCGTCTTTAAAGTCTTTCGCAAGAAGAGGAAGCGCAGAAAACGCCGCCAACCACCACTTATCAGGCTTCCAGACTCAGCTGTTTCCGCTAGAACCACCGATGGCCACCGATACATCGCCATCTCGATCCCGACAAACTATTCAAATGTTAGCAACGTCCCTATACAACGTCCGAAAATCGATAATCTAGCGCGTAGATCGACTTTTGATCCTCGCAGAAACACGCTCAAGGCCGTCGCTGAAGATCACGAATCATCGTCCACTATCTCTATCGTAACAAAGTCGGCAACGCAACAGGAAGCAATTACCGAATTGGCACCTCCCCCTAGAAAGGTTTCTCTGCTTTCAACGGTAACCTCGCAGGCTTCTCAAGAAGACATATCTCTCAAGAAAGGAAAAGAGCTAGAAAAACCAGAGAATGCCACAGTCCGCCCAGCACTGTTGTCCCCTTTAATATCTGATAGGACATCGTATATCACCAACCGGCAATCTAAGTCTCCTTTGCGGGACCAAACACCACAGCTTGAGCAGCAGAAGACTTCAGAGTCCACTGAGCCCGGAACTGACAAGGTCCCTCGCGTAATTGAGATCGCACCAAAGAAAATTAAGAAACCAGCTCAGGCCAACGAGTCATCTACCTACGATAATCGTGTAGCACCGCAAAACGACTCAAAGAGTACCAGTAAATCAGCTGGGCGCCCACGCTTTCTATTAGCAAATTCTTCAAGTGCTTTGACGTTGCCAGTCCGAACTTCAAGTAGACGGGCTACACTAACTTTTTCTGAGCGAAATGAGGGCGTCAATATTGTCAACCGTCAGCCTATGTTATTGACCGCCAACTCAGATAATGATGACGGGAATGAGCGAGCAACGGGCCCGTGCAGCTCGGTTGCCGAGAGTCTAAAGACAACGGAATCATCGCCCAGGCTCTTGAAGGCGCAAACAGCTACGGCGTACCAATCCGTCCCCATAGTTGTACGGCCACCTTCTCACCCGGAAGCCGAGTCCCCTCTAAATCTCAATTTCCCAACACCACCTTCAAATAACTCAATCAGGGGCAACAGCTCGGAACACGTGGAGCTTTTATCGCCTCCTACAGTAGCCAAGGTGGTTTCGAATCGCAAAGATCGGGTGCGGGAGCGGAAGCGGAAAGATATGGAGAAGTTGAAAGCTCAGTTGCGCCAGGTTAAGGCTCCAGTATTAGGAGTACCACCTGGTAATGATTGGCCAGAATCCCCTGTACTCGGCCGATTTGGTCACAATATAGGCTCGTCTTCGTCTTCGAGGCCGTATTTGACAGCTAAAATGTCAGAAATTGGTCCTATCCGGCCCGGTCTGCATCTGAAATCGCCTTACTTGTCGCCTGAAGCTGCCATTAAGAAACGCCATGGAAGAAGTGCGAGTGTCCCAGTTATGACAAGTTCATCATCACCATCCCCGCTGGAATCACCGATGCCCTGGAAAGGTAGCACAGCTTATTATCGTCGAAGGGAAAAACAGGCAGAACAAGATGAGAAAGAAGCTAAAGTGCGGAGGGAAAAGTATGCTGCTCAAGCGCTAGCGGAGGAGGCAGAGCTTCGTGATAAAATCGCATACCAGAAGCTCCTCCGGCGGTACGAGAAGCTAAAAGAAAGCCGCACTAAAGACATGGAGAAACGTCTGCACCGGCTAGAGCGAAACGGCGAGGTTCTGATGCAGTCAATGGTATCCCTGATGGACACTCTTAATAGACTGCTGCAGGATCAACATCAAAATCCCCTGCGGCGAAGTGCTACCGTTCGTCCTACAACTAGTTCTGCCCCGCGTCCGCGCAGACGACATCGCGAAACTGTCCCAGGACGCGCCCAATCCTTAAGGTCCATACGTAGCTATGATAATCTACGCGAAATCCTGCGGACTGGGCTAAAACAGAGCGCGACGCGCCTCCCTAGACACAGCTCACCAAGCCCACATCCAGCCGAGCGGGAAGGTGAAGGCCAGGGAAGAAAGGAGAATGATGCTATGGACACACGTGTCAGCGAATCAGCCTTGGAAGCATTACAGGAACATCTGCGATCACAATCTGACAAAATCGCCAGAGGTTCCGGCATCTCAAGCCACTCTCGCGCTAGTAGTAACGGTCATAGTAGCGAGGTAGATAGCGTTGAAGTTATGGAACCACTCATGCGCGAGCTGCAGGAGGCGGCGAGACAACCAGAGATGGAGGGGGAGAGGACGCCTTTTACAGAGACCGAGATCTTCAACCTCTTCTAAATTGGTTATGTAGCTGGTTAATATCCTTTTGGGCTATGTTTGGTTTCCCAGATGTATTGGTGGTGGTGTGGCTTGAGGGGCACCAGGCTTGTTCTTTCATAATACCATACAATTCCCCCTTTTCCTACCGTAGCTACCCTGACCACGTTTTAGTTAGAACAAAACATACCCCTATTGAGATTAGTCAGCTTATTGGTTAGCTACCTAGTTTACCTCACAATCTTTGGTCATCTATCTACTTACGCATTTGTAATATATTCACACCTCACGGTGTTTCCGTATCCAAAAAAAGGGCGACTTGCTAATCCTTGTGCTAAGTGTTCAGATGCATGGCAAGTGATAGGATGTTGGCAATCCGTGATGCGAGTTGAGGCTTCTCTTCGTGGCGATATTGACTTTTAAACCCCCTATATGAGCTTTTTTCTTTAGAGAGGCTCGATTTGGCGTACCCACGCAACCTAGGCACGGGACTAATCAACGCACGCCGATACCTCCGCAGTATTACTTCAAGGGTTGAAGAATTTAGGCTGAGTCACGGTCTTGCATGCGACGTGCGGGCGTAGGTAGGTAGGTAGTCGGAAGATAAAAACGAGGAGCGGTGGAATAGGGTAATGGTATGCTGATACTAATGTTTCATGGGTCGGATAATTCGCGGAGTAGGAAGGAAGGATGTGATCGTGTATACCGCAAGAGGATGATGGTTTTAAGTTTGAAGAGTGAATAAGCCTGATAAACCGTGCATTCGGCGTGAAAGCAGAGTCTTCTTAGGGAGAGGTAATAGGTAGAGGAGATAACGATAATGGATGTAGATGTAGATTTTCTGATTGAGGGTGTGAAACTTGTGATATAAGAGGCATTAGGCGTAGTAATGTAATGTGGGGAAATAAGGTGTCTCCGGGGTCAACGCCGTGAGATATTCATAGGTACGGATTTGGCAAAACGGAACCAAAGGCTAGTAAGGGTGAATAATAGTCCTGTAGGTATGAAGGTAGGAAAGAAAACGGCGTGTAGTTTGCACCGCACCCTAGATATTCGACGCCCACTCTGACGAAGTCGTTGACAAGATCATGCGCTCAAGAGTAGCCAAACCACCAGGCACTAAATACGGCGTATTACGTACACACGGATCACCAAATCACCGGAAGAAGCACAAAACCGGCCAGGCGACACGGAACTAGGATACTTACCTAGGCAAGCGCCCCTTTTCAACATTGGGGCTGTATCGTCATTATTTCGAACGACAGAAAAAAAGTCGCCCGGAAATCTACGGGAGGTAGCGTAAGCACTCGGCTACCTATTTTAAGTCTAGCAGTAGTTTCCCTTTCCCGTCCCCGAATCTTTACGAAGAAAAAAGACAACAACAAATACCGTCCTTGCCTTGCCCTTGCTGTAGATGCGAGACCTGGGTATCAAAAGCCACTTCTTTTCTTTAATAAAAAAAAGCCGTCCGAGGGTTCCTGATTAAGCGTGCTCAAGCGTGCTCTTCCGTGTGGAGAGCCGAGCGGGTAAGCGATATTGGATCTAAGAATACAAGAATCGTGGGATAAAAGCCAAGCGCCGTGCAAATGCGATGCAAATATTAGAATGCCGATGACGCCATTCCCGTAACGAGGCACATAAAATGCTGTGCGGTGCGTTATTGTAATAATGTAAGTGGGCCCGTGGCTATGAAGCAGCACGAGCATAATAAAATTGACCGTCATTCTTATCCGGGGTAGGGGGGGTTGGGGTATTACTGGGGAGGTTTGGGTTTACGTCTGATGAAGGGATCGGAAGGAGGTGGTCGTCTTCGAGGTGGGATCGGCCGAGATGGCCCAGAACCAGATGGGCCCTAATAAACATTGTTAGCGATGAAACGTTACTATATAAGTAAAGGAAACATTACATACCCTAGGAGCATTCGAGGGGCCAGGAGGGGGATTGTGAGAAGACGAAGCGGGCTTTGGTGTCATGCCCAAAACGGCCATTGCTGAAGGGTCTTGGGGCTGCGGCATGTTTCGGGGGGCGCTCGGCGGCGCTCTGGGAACATTTGTGCTGGCAACCTATATTACCCAAAGTTAGTGATTTTTTCAAATATCTTTTTGCGTTCATGTATCTTACCCTCTTCGGCGCTTTACCATCCTCACTGCCATCTCTAGGCCGTTTTTGACCCGACTGGTGGATTACAGGACGTTCAGATGAACGATTGACGGTAGCGGTCTCGCCTCTCTCATTGAGCCCGCCATATCCCGCCATAGCTGAGTTGTCCGTTGAGGTTCGAGGCTCCTGTCGTTCAAGGACAGTGTACGTCTGTGGTAACTGGGGTGTCGGTTTCTTCTTAGGTGCCCGATTCGAAGGTGGTGCATCCTCCATGACTACATCTTCATTGCTACTGGCCCGACTAGATTGCTTCGAGCTGGGATCCGAAGTATCCATAGGCTGAGGGAGAGTCTGGGCGGGCGTTGGCTGAGTATCAAAACTAGTGGGCGGCAATTTGGCCCCAGGTCTTCTCAGCAAAGAGAGGACATCGCCAGCCGTGTAGCGATCTCGAATCTTGGCATCTTCGATGAGCTTGTTCCAGAATTCACCTTGGACTAGAGCTCTCGAATCTCCAAGAATGAATAGAGAAGACTTTGCTCGAGTTAGACCAACATTCATACGTCGAATGTCAGTCATGAAACCAATACCACCAGTAGGACTGGCTCGAACGCAAGAGAAGATGATGATCTCGCACTCACGGCCCTGGAAAGCGTCCGTGGTATTGAATTCGATGTACTCTTTAATCTTCTCTCCGTATCGACGAGAGAACTGATCACGCAGCTCGAATAGTTGAGCCTTGTAGGGAGTAATAATACCGATCTTTCCCTTCCAATCGGCATTTGGGTAGTCTGTCATTAACCTCTCATACAGTTGCATGGCAACCTTGAGTTCTTCCAAGTTGATTAGTGACTGGCCCTTGCGACCTTTATCTTGGATACCCTTAACGTCGAAGAAGCGGTAGGGACCCAACAGCGCACTCTGGTGCCATGGCTGATGACGTAGTTTTCTCATGTCATCGCCATCTAAGAGACGTCGTTCATAGAATTCCTGGCTGGGGAAAAGACTGATTTCTGGATGCATACGGTATTGCGTGTCGAGGAGATGAACGTCATCAGGATGGTTACGCTGCATACGAACAAATAAACTCTGGTCGTATCCATAACGCGCAGCAGATTGTGACAACACTGTAGGAGGAAGCTGCTTTGGATCACCGACCAGAATACATTTAGAGCAGCCGTACTTCAATGGAATCAGCGCGCTGAGTTCAACACACTGTGCAGCTTCGTCGATGATTACTGTCTCGAACTCGACTTGCAGATTCTTGAACATTTCATGTCCACTACCGCTGAGTGTCGCACAGAGTACCTGGGCAGAATCAAGAATCTCCTGTTGAATCTGACGCCGTCGGATTTCATTCTCTCTGGCAACCGTGTTTCCACTATCTTTATCGGCGTCAATCTTTGCGCCAATCTGAGCCTGGCGACGCTTCAACTCGTCGAACTTTCGTTGAAATTGGTTTATCAGCGTGCGATCGCCGACGGCTCTCGCCGACTCTAGTTGTGGTCGTAGATCAGCCAATTCTAATTTGATTTTACCAGCTTCTTGGTGCATTAGGTCTCGTGAACTGGGGCCCTTATTCTGGTCCGCGGTTCCCTCCACGCGGGCCTTGACCATTTCGTCCAAAGTGACATCTCTTACGGCGGCGTTGATCGCATCAGTGCGACCAAGACGCAAGACATTGACCTTGTGGAAAGATCCAGTCGTAGACTTGACTCCATTTTTGAGACGCAGAACTAACTCGTCTACAGCAGCGTTACTCGGTGCGCAAACTAACAATTTCTTGGATAGCCCTTTACTAGCCGTCGAACCCGGTCCAGTAGGTCGTTTGATAGCTGTGCCGGTATTCGTAGAAAAATTTCCTGTTAGTAAAGCCCCAACCATTGCTACGATCGTCTTCGTCTTGCCTGTTCCAGGAGGCCTATAAGTAGTTAGTGAACGTTTCTAAATGACTTGTTAATGACTTGAGACCTACCCCTGAACTAGAGTAAATGCGTCATTCTCCTTCGCATTCAAGATTGCCTTGGCCTGACCAGGATTCAGTTGGTAGTTCTCCATAATCTTCTCAACGGCTTCTTGGCTAAATTTCAGCATAGGAGATGGCTTGGCCTCTAGAACTTCGGGCATCAAGTCGTAATACTGGAGACTCTCCAATGAAGCGTATTCACGCTCGATAGTGGTCATATTGGTAATCTTTACGGCGTAGAGCTCGGACTTGGGCATCATCGTAGATATTATAGGTCCAGCCCGGCCACTTAAGCGGAATTGCACTTCTAAATTGCCGTTCTTGAACTGAACACGCCAGATACGAGCAAGACAATGCAAGTCCTCAGTAGCCTCCAATGGATTCGCAGCCTGTGAGAATAGGACGATGTCTCCTTCTGAGAGGAACCTATCCTTGTTTTCACTAATAGGCATGGCTGTACTAACTTCGACGAACTTATCAACGTTCATCCGGTTAACAATCTTAATGCCAAACGGCTTCGAGGTTGCTTCATCTTTAGCTGTTACAAAAGATCTCCACGCTTCATTTATTAGAAGTGGTAGGAAGGTCTCCTTGTACTCGCGGGGGTCTCCATAGGCATCAGAGACCTTAGAGCATCTTATGCCATTAGGTGGGTCATTGCCTTTATGGAAAATATCCCATTCCAGAATAGCCTGATGAAGTATGTCCATTGGAGGAATAAGTCGCGCTCGCATATCCTTCGCGGAACGTTGAATCTTCACCTTCTTCACCGGGAGAGGCACGTGGGGTTTCGCGGATTGCCCGCCCTTCGCCCCTTTCTTTCCAGCGGCAGATCGAGCTAAGAACTCGGCATCGCCGTCTGAGTCGTCCTCATCCTCCGAAGAAGAATTGACCATGATCTCGCTCTTCTGTGGTGCATGATCTTTGCCATGGACGCCGGAAAGCCCCTGAAGGCCAGAACCTTCACCGCTGACGAGTGGTTTAGGTTGCCTAAGAGCTTTCGCTCTGGCAATGACCTCGGCATCTCGCTTTCGCTTCTCCTCGGCCTCCTTCTGGCGTTTCTCCCGAATGGATGCCACATTAACTACAGGTTGCGCGGGTTTTCGTTCCGCGTGGCGAGCTTTGATTATGTCTAAAGTGGACTTAGTCTTCTCTGAAGTGGAGGATTTCAGTATGTCGCGGAGATCATCCTTGCTCGTTTTCACTGGTATCTTCCCTTTCCGAGATATACTAGGTGCACTTGGTGTACCCGATGTGTCATCAGCTGATTTCGACCAAGCATCAAGCCTACTTTGTCGTTTGTGCGGCTCAGCCTTCTTAATTGAAATGATCTCGACGTCATCTTGAGTATCTTCACCCAAGGCTCGCAACAGCTCAGCACGTTGGCGATCATTCATGTTCGTCGAGGTGTTATATCGCCCATCTTTGTTCTTAATGCAGGTATTCTTGACGAATGTCAGAGCCTGCGAGGGGAGTTCGATATCAAACTCCACTAAACGTCTCAGGAGCTTCCCAAGGACGTTGACGATTACCGTGACGAGGTACAAATCCTTCAAACGAAGCATCTTGCAGAGACCAAAGGAATACTTCCGTGGCTGTTCGAGAATATCCCTCATGGCTTGCTTTTCAGGTTGTTCACCGTTGTCCATTGAAGAAGAATGTGCGGATTCTGAACTCAATGCAGAGGCGAGGAGACCATCTTGGGCTAATAGAGCTTCGGCAAACTCCATAGCTTCTCGACAGAAATTCTTCATAGTTTCCATGTCGATTAGGCGACTCCAATCTTCTGTCTGGGTGAAGGCGTTGTCAAGAAATCTCCATTGTGCATTCCACCAAGCACCAAGCACTTCACGCTCTCTGTTATTCAGATCTTTCGATCGCAGTATCCCAGACGTCGGATCGCAGAGACTACTGAGAATGTCTCTCGAGTACCGGATGACATTGAACTGCGGTGACCAGAGACACATCTTCTCGGTGATTTCAGTGACGATAGAAGTATAGGACGATAAGGCATGGGTGAAATAGCCCTCCAATAGTCTAAGTACGGCGTCGGTTCTCCTCATCTCGTTCGTGACAGTCTTGATAAAAGAAGCCCCAGCTTGATTGATGTCTTGCTCGCCATGGACAAGAGCAGCCACGATAGGTAATATCGTCGAAGGATCCGAACAGAGCTGTCGTAGAGTAGACTCACTGAAGTCGCCTAATCTTTCAATCATCCGACCCACGACTTCGGCAGTTTTCTGAAAATCGATATTGAACTCCTTCTTCGTAGGTGATAGGGTCTGTCTCTTCACCGGCCGAAATATCTCCACGGCAATCAGAGGACCGGTAGCAACTAGCATTATCTTAGCAAGTTCATCTGCACCGGGCTGGAGAATCTCCAAGAATGCTTCCCAAAGACCCGGCGAATTCCGCTTGACCTCTCGTTGGACAAGTTTATCACTGTTCTGAAGTGCGCTAAACTCCTCGACGATGATGCGAGAATCCAAGGTGAGAGCGTATTTTATTACGGACAAACCGGCATGAGACATAGCAGCATTCTGTTGGTCGTCGGGTGGGAGTTGGGCAAGCTGTATGATCAAGTCTTTATACTTCAAGGTTAGATTCAAGACCGCATTCGTATGGATGGTCGAAGAAGACACGTGCAGCTTGTAGTTCGGAGAGGCGAAGGTTCCCAGGGTGGAGGAGAGAATCTCGACCGCGACAAGAGTACAAGCAACCTTGCCTCCCGATGTCATGTTGGGGTCCTGTGCATACCTTTGCAGGAAATGGTGCAAAAGCGAATCACAGACATCACTCTTCTGATGAGTAGGGATTGATTCTACGAATGACTTCACCCAAGAGATTGCCGTTGGACCCTCGGACACATCAGGCTCTCCCGACTGTAAAAGGAGTGACTTAAAGGCCGGGCTGACCAGGATTTGCTCTGCGACTGCTGTGTGAGAGTAATGACTATATGCATCCCAGAATGCCTTAGGAGACTTTCGTATCAGGGCGCAGAATGCCTTGAGAAGCAGCTTTAAAATGGGGACTGAATGAATTCTAGACATTTGGGCGAGCATTAATTCATATATGCTCGGCTGCACGGTCATGCCTCGCAGGGAATGAATGACGAGTTTCTCGTCGAGCACATCTAATATGTGAAGGAATCCTTGCCAGAAGCGAAGGAGGAACTGAGGAGACGCATTGATGTCATTAGCTTTCAAAATGGCGTCTGCGAGGTTGTCGTTGATTGCCCACTCAAAGTCCTCTTCGGTGACAGAGGGATGTCGAGAGAAGGTGTGGACGGCAAATCGGTTACGAGTGTCGTTCTCGTCGAATAGAAAAAAGGTCATTGTCGGGAGGATCTCATCTAGCTTAAGAATCTTTCTCTTCTGGATCGCTTCAAATACGAAGTTGAACTGCTTTCGGTTTTCCGGCAAGCTCAAGTATGGCATACAGCAGATGGCCTCGTAGAGGGCGATGAGTAAATCTTCCCGGTCTTCCTTAAGAAAAGTGCTCTGCCCAGCTACGCCGTTGTGAGCATTGATGAACTCAGCAGCACCCTCGAGGCCTTTGGTGATGCGGAGAAAATCGAACTGGTTCAAGCGATCCTCCATCTCAGTGACTACATTGTCGTCGTAGATTTGGCCAATGTCTTTGAGAAATGGCTTGCGTCCTTTGTGCCAGTTTCGCACGCATGTCGCGCAGGACTTGAGGAAACCATTTGTCCGCTCCTTAAACTCGGAGCCTAAGCTTCCCGCCGATTCTTCCTCGAGACCCAATATAAGTGAACAGATATATGCCTGGTTCAGCCTCTCCTTTCCTTGTTGGATTCTCTCTTCCTTTTCGGCGACGGTGATTTTGCTGGGAGCCTCGACATCCTCGTAGATCTCATCGTCTTCGTCGGATATTCTCGGGCAACAAAGATGAGACTCCTGTGGAAACTCTCGGAGCTTATTAAAAGCACCCTCGAGTAATTGATTGACAGACATGTTGACTTACGTCAGGCATGTCGCCCGGGATCGTACTTCGACGTCGGAATAAAGGATCGAATGTTGGTTGTAGGTTTAGGTTCAAGTTCTAAGATTTCCGTCAAGCTTTAGATATTATCTTGAAAGATTAAATTCAAAGCCCTCGGTTTGTCGGGTGGCCGGTACCTGATGGTTACCACGTAACTGAAAATAAAAGTCAGAAATGTTCAGGAGGGAAGAATGGATTTGATGGCGTGTAATTCCGGCGCGAGGGTCTACGAAACAGAGATTCTCTGCTCTCTGCTGCGCGACAAGGCATAACCATACGCAAGCGTAGTCAGAGTGCAAGGGAGTTAGGTATGTGATGTATGTCTACCTGATTGCAAGGCTGACTTGACGGTGGATGTGTAAGGCTAAAGTGAATTGCCCATGGCGCGGCGCGTGAAGTTTCGAGGAACGTGCCAGAGGCCCAGACTGGTACGAAGTACGTATTAGGTAACTTACAGTGCTTTCTTATCGATAAGGCCTTGATTGCTTTCGGTTCAAGGTTCCGTCCGTAGTGAGGTAATGGGTATGGTGGGCTGGCTCTAGGGCTGAGCTTCAGAAGCTTGGCATAATCCCCATCAATTCCCAATCTGCGGAGTGGAAGTCCGAGGTAGATGTGTAAGAGAGAAAGAAAAGTTATCTGGACAAGCTTGATGGAAAAGGCGAAGACAACTAGACAACTATTGCCCTCGTAACAGATAGCCCTAGTATTCTTCGAATCCGATTTCGATCTCGACTTCGACTTCGCTTTCGATTTCGGAAGTGTACAGGTGCTTACGGAACCGTCAAAATGTAAGAGGGCGGGCAAGGACCGCCTCCCTATAACATGGCGAATATATACGAAGAGGGCGAGAGCAAAGTCAACAGACCAAATTAACTAGACAGGTGCCATAAACAAGGATAGTCAAAGCAAGCAAAGTTAGGCGGGTGCAAGATTGTATAAGCCAGTTTAGAAAGCATCACATATTTTATCTAAGGTCAGCTCAGCTCTTACCTAGGTAGTTAATCACATTTCCTTCCATTTCACATGCCAGCCTTTTAATAAGCAATTACAGCCAGAATCTCACCTTCGGCGATCCCTTTATCTTCGCCTTTCCTCAACGCCGTTAAAGTGCTTTACGCCGTTTCACCATCTTCCTTCACACCATCCTCCTTTACACCATCCTCCTTTGCATCCTCCTCCTTTATACCGTCCTCTTGCTGCCCTCCCTTAGCCAGGGCCCGAACCTTTGACCGCCGTTTGCCAAATCGACGAATCAGGTTCTCCAGGGGACACTCATCGAGAACAGCCCAATCTTTGGTCCCTTCAACAGTGTTTGCCTTGCACTTCCCACAAAGTTTGCCGTGCTGGATAAACAATTGATGTAGTCCGTACTTGAATTGGTCCGGGCATCGAACTTCCAAGTGACTGAATGTATCATCAGGGTTTGCTTTCTCTGGCACCCAGCCTAGCCAGCGCGCAAATCTGTAGACGTGAGTATCAACAGCAAAGCAGGGAATCTGAAGGCAAAAGAGGATGACGCATGCCGACGTCTTGACTCCGATGCCAGGGTACTTAGTAAGATGCTTCATGACTTCGTCGCTTGGCAAGCCACGGAGATGTTCAAGCGAAAGAATATTCTGCTCCACTGCCTGTATCTCAAAGTCCTTCTGTCCATCTGTCTTTTCCGCTGCTGCAAACACATTTGCCTGCACACCAGTCTTTCTTTCTTCAAGGTATGCATCGCGTCGTTCGACGTTCTCCTGGTAAACCATATCGAGGATAGTCTTGATGTTCTTAGACTTTTCAGTCGCTAGACCCCCTTGGCGAATGGCATCATACAGATTCCCAACCGGAGATAGCCGAACGTTGTTCCAATTAACACTGCCATCGCCAATTCCTCCTTTCAACACTCCGAACTTTGCAGCTACATTTTGCAACATCTTATTCGAGCCGTCCATGCTTACTGCAGTGCTTAGATAAGTCCTAAGTAAACCATCAAGCAAAGACGGAACCTCGCCACAGCCAGTTACCTCTAGTGAAGGAGGAGGTATAACTTCCGGTGCTTGGGTAGAGACGTTGTCGTGCATTGTGCTAAGCAAATTGAAAACTTCCCCACACTGCTCTGCACTAGGTGGTAGCCACATTGGGAATGGACTCACACCTGGTGTTAAACCGTAAGGATTGTCCTTTGTCTTTCTAGCTACCCTTTTCGTCTTCTTGGCTTTAGGCTCAAGGATATCGGGATGGAATTCCTGGTCTTGGACCCCAGAAGTATCCTCCGTTTGAGCCTTTCGCTTCGCTGTTGCTGCATTGTGTATCCGTCCATCGGCGTGTTGCGCTTTCGTGACAGAAAAGGATATGGTCTTTTGCATCGAAGACTTTGGGATAATCACCTTTGGCTTTCTTGGTCGCAATTGTCGACCGCTTTTCACAGAAATATCATCAGTGGGAGTCTCGAGGCTGGTGGTAGTCGCTCTTCCCATTATCTTGGCATCATCTTCTTCAGAAGTCTCCACTACCGCTGTTGTTGCCGCTATCTGTATTTCAGGGGTAAAGGGCGACATTGAAACAGGCAATTGATGAGCAACGGTGGTTGGGTCTGCTATGGGCAAGGAATTGTCGATGGATGGTGAAATGGGCGATTCTTCGACAGCAGGCGGGGCGGCGATTTCGTGACTCCCTAAGACAAGTCCTAACCCATGTGGTAGCATAGTTGGAGCTTGTGCCTTAGCCCCCTTTCGACTGCGTCCCGGCATCTTGTCGGTAGGTTATGACTAAGGACCGGACTAAAATACTCTGTGTCAATTCCACATGAGCCAAAGCTAAAGAGTAGAAGATAGGCTGCGACGAAGAAGGGGCAGCGCACCAATGAATGAATAGGGGTAAAAAGGGGCGATAGGGGTTTAGAATTAGAGGATGTATGCCAGATCCCCACGTCTATAGGCAATTTATGTGAGATGTGTACATGAGTGTACTTACATAAAGAAGATACTAATTGTACGGGTAGACGTCAACTGTAGTGTTCTTGCACAATAAAAGGCAGAGGTGTATCTAGATTGTAATTGTCGAAAGATCAGACTTGGTATGTGGGTAGTCAAGGCGTGAATGTGAATATCGAGTCTTTAAGCTGAAGAGAGAACTAAATGAAGAATATCAATAACCTTGTTGGAGCCCGCCGACCCGGTTAAGTTGGTGGTAGGTAAAGTAACGAGGGAAGTGACGATCTCATAAATGAAACCTCAGAAGTCTCAATTGACTTGAGCACGGAATATGTAGTCAACTGTGATTGCGAAAGTCAGCACCTAAGTACCATATTGCAGATCAAGAGGTATCGTTGCTGTTGGTAAGAGCTGTTCTGCCTTGATGAAAACATACATCATGTAGGTAACGGCTAACATCAATGAAGTGTACTACGAGGGGGAACTCACAGTCGGCAATATGAATACTTCACCAACATGAGTATACTCTGTCGACGTGGGCAGATATAGTGATATCAATAGAGAATACCTAGTCGGCGACAAGACTATAGACACGGGACACTGGGTGGGGCTTTTCAGAGAAGACTATACTCAATCGACGAGGCGAAGTCTTGGTCAGTGATGGATATGCGATATTAATAGTGTCTACCTCTTGAGATCACTATCCGATAGTGAGGCTGGGTTGAGTCTGTCCAGGACTGAGTGAGGGGTGATGGGTAACACATATAAGTCGCCGAGATGAATTGAAGCGAGAACTTCATATATACTTAATAGTAGATACGAGGCTTGCTCTAAGTGCGTGCTGGGTTAAAGATAATTGCGCAATGGATGTGTGACTTCAAAGGTATGGGCCCAGAAGGGAATGTTTGAACAGGCAAGGGGTATTTGAGAAGTGAGCGCGGACAACCACGTATCATGGAAAGTTGGTTGGTACCTAGGTATGTATCAGACAAGGAGAAAGCTGACCTAGTGGTACAGAAGAGAGAGAATTGAAATATCAATAAAATTGTGAGAGATGTGAAAGAGAAGAAAGTTGGAAGTGAGAAGGTTTGTGACGGGTGATGACAGGTGGGACATCCCAGGACCCAAAGAGTACATTGAACCATACCGACAGTCTGCAAGTACGATGAACATCAGATGAGCTACTTTTAATCAGTTGGAAATACCGGTTAAATGCTTAGACGCTAACTTCATTCATTAGGTTGATAATGACGTATTCAGGAGTTCAGATGGTAATGTACTTGAGCAGCTACGAAAGTACATAAGAAGATACCACTTACATCTAGACATATAACCACTACATGTATGAGATAGTCATAATCTTGAGGTGCCGTGATTTCATTAGACTTGAATAACTTGGAATCATTCAAGAACACTTTACGGCCCCTCGTGAATAACTGGTTCTATGTTGATGATGGTATATAGAATGGAATAATTGGTTGATTATAGGTGTTGGAAACTATGTAGGAGTGAATATATGCATACCTAGGTATCTATCTCTGAGTTAGGGAAGACTAGGTAGGTAGGTATTTAAGTGACTAGATACCTATCTACTTAGTTGTGATGCGTCGGTGAATGATACTGATATATGTCCATAAGAAATAACAATGCTTTCATGCTAGTTATATACGTACGAACTCCTGTTAAATGCGATAGGCCAAGGGTGGACAGAAACCCATAGGATAGTTGTGACAAAAAAGATTCATCTAGTAAAATAGGGGTTAGGCATAATCCCTGATTCAGACAAGATATCAATTATTGAAGACGACTAAGGCCTATAGGAAGTCTGGGAACATGGCAATAAGATGCGCTGCACAAATTATGAATAAGAGTATGCAATTTCATTAAACATCGGTATTTCATATTGAACTAGGTAATCAACGTATTGTCTATCAAGAGCGCGAGTCTTTAACGTCGTTCGGGTTCACTAGCCATATTGTGAAGGCTGATGTCATCCCTGATAGGGGAAATGGCCCCATTTCTCTTGATCTCTGGTGAGGGATGCTCCTCTCCAGGTGCAGTGAGATGCGATGTCGAGCCGTTAGTGCCCGTCTGGCTGCCACCGACAACCATCGTTGCGCCGCTACTGGCAATCGGTGCATGCGTCGCATGTTTCCGCTTCATGCCGCGCAATTCATTCAGATGTTCGAAGTACCCTTCGGGCACGGGTGTGACATATTTGCCACAAAATACGCCAACCTCAAATTCCGTGGGGCCATTCGGAGGCGCGAGCTCTGCGCATGCTGCCTTTAGGTCGTCGAGATCTTGGTAAATCACTTCCTCTGCATCGATGCCTTGAAGTTGAAGTTAGTAATCATCTTTCAGATAGAACAAATAGCTCGAAGCTGCAAGCTATGGGGTTTGGTGTTTAAATTCTTTGACTTACTCTTGGCGATAGCAAAGCGGTCTTTGCCCGAAGCGATCAGTTCTGTCGGACTGGCTAAATCAACTATAGAAACCCAGTAAGTAAACCGTTCGCAATTGAAAAGGGGACAGCTAATCTTAATTGACAGACTAAACGCCATCTTGGAAAATTACTTACTACCGTAGATGTGTGGTGCTGTGATAGGGGGGGCGCAGCTCGCGAAAATGACTTTTCGCGCGCCAGCCTCACGTGCCATAGCCACTATTTCCTTACTTGTAGTACCTCTCACGATAGAGTCATCAACAAGCAAGACACATCTTCCTTCGAATTCAGTCTGAATGGCACTAAGCTTTCGCCTAACACCCTTTTGACGAGCTCCTTGCTGAGGCATACTGTAATATCTCAAGTTAGTTATTATTATTAGGAAGTCTTTTCGAGAAAAGGAGTGCTCATAACCCCTACATAGGCCTAATATGACGATAGTGTTGTGAATGAGAGAAGGGATGACAAACATGAATGTTCTGAACACATATCTGTTCTTGACGAAACCCTGGCAGAACTTCAACCCTAATCGTTCGGAGACGCTCGCAGCTGATGTATTTGAGGTCTCAGGAATGGGTATAACAGCATCAATATCCTTGATGCCTTCATCCCCAAGAAGCTCTCTTATCTTATCAGCTAGTTTGTAGCCCATTCTCTGCCGAGAAGCGTGTACACTGATCCCGTCCATGACTACAGATGTGAGTTAGAAATCATGCGTCTTAGCAACAGCAAACACCATATGATACTAACCAGTGTCGGGTCTTGCAAAGTAAACGTATTCAAATATGTCGGGTGAATACGTTTTCGGGGGTTGAACTTGGTGAAAGACAGGCGATCGACCTTTTTGAATGAACACAGCTTGGCCAGGTAAGATGTCCCGAATGTTGCGAAAGCCGAGTTGTCGCAAGGCAATGGACTCGGAGGCAAGCATATAGTCTTTTGCGCCGGGGAGAGTATCCGAATCTCTCTCGCCAAGTACTAACGGCCTAATGCCGTAAGAATCTCTGAAGCCTAAAACTCCAAAACCAGCGATCATTGCGGTGCAAGCCCAACCGCCCTAACTCATTTATTAGCCATCATTACATCGTTACTCTAGTAGATGTAACCAACCGAACACCGATCGTACATTCGTTCTAAAGAATCTACTATTTGTTAGCACTGCCTGTAATAACTGAAACAGCTTGTGTAGCTCTTCCCTTAGAAGAAAAAGACTAGGTGTAGAGGGAATTATCGAGTATAGATACGGCAAAGAAAGGGACGAAACGGGGGGGTTGGGAGAAAAGGGACTAAGATGCAGAAAGCTTACTGAATATATCGTCCGTATTGACTCTGGCCTTGCCGGTCTCATTCAACTCATTCGCAAACACATTGAGCATGCTAAATTTGTGTTAGCGCTGCTCATTTCAATGTCTTTTCTTTGAATCTTCAATGATCGATATATCCTAGAGCATAATCGCCAACTTACAGTTCACTATCACTGTCCGTATTGATATGTCTGTGGGCAACAGTGTCAAGATATTGACGCAGCTCAGGGGCGTTGATAAGATTGCCATTGTGGGCAAGCTGCAACATATCCAATCAGTACAAGTAATTCTCCATGTATATGAGATTTATGGTATGCAGATGCATATAGGATTTGTATAACAACATCTGAATCGAGTACATGTTTGGCGAACTTGAATCGGGAGGTTACTGCAATCGAAAAACATATTAAAGGATAACTTACACATATTCCATAGGGACTGTTAACGTATAATCTGCTTCATGTTAATATCTAGCCGAGGGCTTATGGCTACGGGCCTTGGAAGGACTCTCCCATAAAAGGGGGTAGTGGTGAAACGTACTATAGATATATTAGCTTGAATGAAATATTGTAAAATATCAAATAATTTGAGCAGTAATAACGCCATGTCAGGATAAGTTTTACTAACCGGTTGCGACTCAGCATTCGATGATGTGCCAGCAGTCGGGTAACGTAAGTCTAGTAAATCAAGCATTAGTATGTATACTTGAAGCAGTAAAAACGAATTTTTGCCAAGAAAAGTCTACGTTCAGACATTTGAACAAGTAAGGATAACGACAAAAAAGAAGAGGAGGAAACGTACGTCCAATACCCATTGAGCCGGGTAGGTCTTGAATTCTCATGCCATCAGCGAACACTTTAGCGGCCATTCCATTGCCCTAGCACTGGTATTAGACTTTGGCTCATGAAGAGAGGAAATGAATATATGGCCTTACTTTGCACTGATATATGCGACCTCCGGCGGCGCAAGTTGCAACACCACAAGCTGGTGATTGTTAATTTGGTTCCTAACTATGAGTCTGATATGAATGTTGCTAACCATCTTGTCCTCTGTGTTGGAGGAAGTACAGAGCCTCATGGAGTGCGACGGCAGCTTTGCAGGGATGCTCAGGGTCATCCCCGACATGGCCCAAGATCAAACCAATGACACCGCACATGGCTGCTCGGCGGGTAGTAAGATCGCAAGGTCTAGTAATGTCTTGTTAGCAAAGGTGAAGCATTAAAATCAAGCCCCACTATCTCAGCCAACAGCACAACAGCAGCCGGATGAAGCGGAATATACCAAATTGGACTTATACACAAAGCTACACTAAGACCAGCAAGTTGGTATGCAATAGTTGGTTTCCCGGTGCTGTTACGCCGTCTTCCGAGATAGATATGACAGTTTGTAAGGGGAGATATTGTTCAGAGTGGATTTCTCCGCAGCATATAGCTAGGCAGTCGAACATTTATAAAAGAAAGAACTCATCACGACAATATTTATGGCTAGGTATTCTCAGGGATAGCGAGCTTGTTGGCCAATTGCCTCCAACGTCAATTCCCATCATCCCATAGCCGAGCAGGGTTTAGGACTGGAGTTTGCGCAGGGTCAACTTATACCAGGCCTATCTGCCAGGAAGCAGCAACCGACTGTCTCTGATTTGCGCCAAGTTCTACGAGAACGGAACCTATGCCAACATACCTTCTTTATGAATCTCGATTCCGTGGGGTAGAAATGCAGGTTGAATCGAATCAAGTCGAGCCGCGTGAGATCGGTATGAGTGAATCGCGGGGAAATTGTAGGGAGCCGGCAAGAGGTGCTCGTGTCTTTGCGCGATTACTGGAAGACGGACGCAGACGAAGGTGGGATGGAACTCGGAGAAGTTGGATTGAACGTAAGTTTCGACAGCTATGACGATATCAAGTATTGAATTGACCGAATTGATTATACGAATATTTGCCTTCGAGTGGGAGCGCAGAAGCACCTGCGCTACAAGAAACGCGCGCAATCGGCATCATGATTAAATTTACTAAATTTTTTTTCTTGTCCCATCTGAGAGAATTCGAAATATTTGCGACTAACGTTGGAGTAAAAAGTGGAGGGGCACTTGGCGGCTGAAGATGATTGGGTCAGACGGTCTAGAGCTTTTTCCGAACTCAAAATCACCTTACTTTGCACCCAAGGTTCTGGGATCTGGGACCCCCACTGGTCTGGTTGGATGGAACGAATCGGTGTTGCGATTGCCACTGCCACAGTATCACTGCGCTAAGGAAACGACAAAGATTGGAAGATTGAAAGATCCGGTCGCGCACGTGGCAAGTCACCCTTGACAATCACAATTGAATTGATAGGACGAGCCTGAACAATTACAAAATCTCTATCGATAAAAGCTTATGACGGGAAGGTGGGGTTCTTCAATTCAATATGTGTACTTAGGTACATACCGCTCTGAATAAGCATGAGCTAATGGATCGTAAGCAATTTCCAACCAAAAACCTTCATATTAGAAACAATGGCCGAGTACATGACGACCTTCAATTGCCATAATCCATCTTGCTATGTCTCTAATGTAGGCGCTAGTCCTATTCTATGAAGACTAGGTGTTTATTCCAAGGTAATGTATCTGTTGAATGTTTATAACCATCGTCAAATGCTTCGTAATAAGAACTGAGGTGGTCTTGTATGATCTCGTTCATTCCCGAAGCAGAACCCAAACGGTATATTTTAATCACAAATTTCTATCTTCGATTCCGATCTGCTCACTTTTAGCCATAATCTGTAACTTCGACGTATCTCGACAAAACTTATTAAAATTTGATCATTGCTTCTAGATGAATACTATCAAACACGCCATGTCGAAAACGCTCTCGCACGCTAAAATCACGGCCCATCGCTCGGCTGCTCGCGGGCATTCGGATCATGGATGGCTCAACACTTACCACAGCTTTTCGTTCGCTGACTGGTACGATCCGAGGTTCTCGCACTTCGGCTCGTTGAGGGTTTTAAATGAAGACCGAGTTAAGCCGAATTCGGGATTCCCAACACACCCTCATCGGGATTTTGAGATATTTAGCTACATTATCTCCGGCGAGCTGACCCACCGAGATAGCATGCTTCGAAAGGGGGCCGAAGGTGGGCAGTCGGACAAGTTTTATCGAATGCGTCGAGGGGATGTCCAGTTCACCACTGGCGGAACGGGCATCGCGCACTCCGAACAGAACGAACATTCGAGAGAGACGGTCCACTTCCTCCAGATCTGGGCAATGCCCTGGAAGCGTGGACTCACTCCGAGGTATCATACCCGTCATTTTAGCGACGAGGAGAAGCGCAAGGGTTTCGTTCCAATATTAAGTCCGCTCAAGGGCGGCCCGGAGGCTACTTTTGAGCAGGAGAAAGTTGCCGAGCCGGCAATTGAGGGCACCATACCAATTCACGCCGACTTTGTAATGGGGGCTGGCCTGATTGCGCCACAAGAAAAATTTGATTGGATTGTAGGGGCCAAGGCAACGGAGAACAGTAAGAGAAAGGTGTACATTCATGTCCCGATGACAAAGAATGGAAAAGCCAAGGTTCGTCTGGATGGTCGAGATGAGGTTTTCGAGGAGGGTGACGGTGCATTTGTTGACGGCGTGAATGCCGGAGATAGGTTGACGGTAGAGAGTGTAGGCGAAGTTGAAGCTGAGGTCGTGATCCTCGATACTGCGTGATTAGCACTATAATTATTAAATAACATTCATATTTTCAGAACCCAATACTACATTAGTAGCGCATCCTAAAACAAGAATTATACCCCTTCAGCCATTGGAGGTATTATCTCTTGAGGGATTATCTCCTTGGTACCACCGGTAAAGACTTCTGCTTCAAATTTCCGCGATATCCCAAACGATACCCCCTAAACAATAACAAAATATAAGCTATCGAATAAAAAACAGCTGACGGTTTCTACTTTACTAGAGTAAGGAAGCTGAAGAAAATGAACAGGAACCTCTGTACATGAAACTTTCTTTAACTGATCTTCTTAGTGGCCTTTGATCAGCATCTTATTCCCTTTCATTGCTTAATGACCATTAAGTCTGGACGATGCCACGAAATAATTTGCCTACCCCAATTACTCAGCGCCGGTATTTCATAATACATCAGAATGATTAGGTAAATAGCTTCGGCCAGGTTTGGATCCCGCAATAACCCCCTTTTGGCCAAAAATATTCTTATCTTGGCAGAGGTAGTGATTGTAGTGCTGTTTATGGCTATGTGGAAGACTTGGGGAATCACTTCAGGCTACCTTTAACTACCTACGTATAGAATACCATATAGCTTAGCTTAACGGCATCTACTTAGGAATATGGCAAATTAAGATGTGGATTAGAAAGGAATACTTTCCCAGAGTTATAGGGGATGTATGGGTCGACAGGGGCTTATGGGAGAAATGGGAGGGACCTTGATTTTCCACCTTCTCTTTCTCTTTCCATTTCCCTTTCTGTACTCCATCTCTGGAAAAATAGTTAGCTGGTCTTTTCTCATGATAACGGAGGTCTCCAATGTCTAAGAAGAAGTGGTAGAAGGACGTGAGTGTCCGGTCCGCTCCAACATAGCTTGACCGGTAGATAACATTTTAAATACGGCGCTATCTTAAGAGCATAAGAAAAACCTCTAACAAGAGATTAGCAGTTCTAGGACTCACCTATCGTATATCTAGCGGATTTTCTAACCTCGAAGATCTTACGATTTACTCGAGGCCTTTGACACACAGTGCAAAGATTTGAAAAATAACTGTGCAGTACGGGATTAGGTAATAGATGTGGCTTCAAATGGGTTCGGCCGAGTCCGTGAACCCCCAACCACGATCTATCCGAATCCTTCAGCTTTTTTCAGGTATCTTTTGAGATACACTGGAAACACGCCGAGGCCACGATATTGCTTCCCAAATGGGTGCCACATGTTGTTTATCTTTTGCACATTGAAGTTCTCATACAATTGATTACATGTGCGTAATCAGCTGGGCGGTGGCGAGCTTTGAGGACACTAGCTGAGCCTTAGTGCTAGTCAACTCCGCGATTCTTGGTCATGACTCACGCGAGACCCGCCAGCATCAGTTGTAATACCTCTCTCCAGGCCGTGCTAATCCCAAAATCCTGGCTAACCACGAAGTCACAGATGTACGTATGTCTCATTTGATGCCGGTAATTACCTATATGCTAGACCTAGGCAACGTCATCCCGACGCGGTGAATAGTTTGGGAGCTTGTGTCCCTGATCATACAGATTAATATTTCGAAGGGGCTGTCTTGGCCCTTTGTTGTCGGCCTGCAAGCTGACCGGGCGCAGGATTCCGCCGGCGCTAGAGAGGGGACCTTTTCAACACACGTGGGGTTAAACGCTACAGATTACCTAGTGAGCTTGAGGACCAGGCACCAAACGTCTCTAGAACCGTACCTGCATTTGGATGTCCCTGAACAGGGAATATACCTAGACAAGAGATATGTGACTTCTGAGTAGGGCTGGCGCGTCGCAGTCCAGGAGAGGATACTGGTTTTATTGAGTACGGTCAGATTTGGATGCTGATGCCTTTTTCGAGAACTAACTGTTTGATAGCCTTATTTGTCGCATGTCGTTGCCGAAGGTGATGATCTTTTCCTCTTCGCCAGTTTTTCTCCATTGAACAAGCTCGTTCACTCGTTCTAAGCGAGCGATGGGTGGTTCGATAAATTATGGTCCTTAGTCCTAGATCTAATCGATCTTTGCCTAGTGCCTTTTGCCTGACCTATGGAAATTCTGGTATTCTATAGGTGTGGTTCCAATAGTTCGGACCCTAGGGCCGACCAATCGCATGCCCCAGTCATCCGCCGCACTCGTGCCTTAAGGCTGATTCTAGGCTGAAGACTATACTTGTTCCTGATACTTCCCGACTTCCTAGCCCTGGTAGTGCCCCTTGATCTTTGTGTGCTCCGTAGGATCACACGGTTTTGACGAGGGCTTAGCGGCCAGCTATCATGGGCTTCTTCGGCGCGCAGGTCCCATTTCGGACGACACAATCTCAGTCACAAGAAGCAGGGAAATTAATAGGCAGGCGACGAGAAGAATACTATGCAAACACCTTTTAGCAGTTATTAGTCACATAATGTACATGGCCATTGCTCTAGCTTACGGCCGTCCCTACAGTATGCAAGACTGGAACCTTAGCGACAAGCGACCCTACCTGGGGTGGGAGTGGCTAGGGGATGGCTAGGTCCTATAGAGCAAACAAGTGTTTTTTATCTCATAGTCGAGACGCTCTCCTTCCTTCCTCCGTCTCTTCTCCTTTCCATCACCATCTGTCAAGTCGACCAGACACGGCATATTGACTAGCCGTAGCAAACATTTCGTTTGCGTCCTTTCGTTGAGTAGCTCGGCATTCACGTTCATTACGGCTTCGGCCACTTACGATCTTTACGAACAATACAATCTTTTAATAAGTCCCGAAGATGATGAAGAATTCAGTGTTGATGGCCGCGCTTTCAGCGTCGTCTGCCATTGCCCTTTCTACTACTTCTTATACACCAGACTACAAACTCAATGCCTACTGGGTATGATATCCTACAAACTAGTCTCGAGTCCCCTTTTCTCACAAATAACTCATAGGGACAATCCGGACCTTGGACTGATTTCCTCGGCGATCACTGTGAGTCCGATAGCGTTGACTTTGTCACTCTCGCCTTCGTAAACAACTCGCCCGAAAATGGAAACGGTACCAATTACCCGGGCACCAACTTCGCTGCCCATTGCGCGGCAGAAGTCTACGTGAACAACAACCGTGACTCCAAACTTCTCAGCTCATGTTCTTATATCAAGGATGATATTAAAACGTGCCAGAGCCTTGGAAAGAAGGTGTTATTGTCGGTTGGAGGAGTGTTTTCCGAGACAAGTAACTACACGATCTCCACTGTCCAGGACGGTATTGACTTCGCGGACTTCCTTTACGAGGCATTTGGCCCCTTCAAGGATGGATACACTGGCCCGCGACCTTTTGATGAGAGCTCTACGGACCACACTACCCTTGATGGTTTTGATTTCGATATTGAGTACAAGTTTGGTAAGAACTGTTTATACCCCTATTAATCTTTACCATAGTGATCATTCCACTCATTCTCTACACATTACTGACTCTCACTTGCAGATGACCAAGAGCCATACGTTAACATGGTGAATCATCTTCGCGAACTGATTACCAACGATGGTGAAAATATGATCCTCACGGCTGCCCCTCAGTGCCCGCAGGATGACCAGTATTTCCAAATGAAGACCATCCTTCAGGAGGCTAAGTTTGACAATATTTGGATCCAGTTCTACAACAACCCGTCCTGCGAGGCAACTACCACGGGTTTCAACTACGATGCTTGGGAGACGTTCATCAACGGTGGAGTCAACAATGATGCCGAACTCTTCATCGGTCTACCAGGAAGCCTTGAAGCTGTTGGTGCGCTAGGCACTGGCTACATCACGCCTGATGCGGCAAAGGACCTTATCTGCGCGTATAAAACCAAGCAGCATTTCGGTGGTGCTATGTTGTGGGATGCCTACTACGCTTCCGAGAACAAGGACTCGGAAAATGTATCATACCTTCAGACAGTTGCAGAAGCCCTTAAATGCGGTGGTTGCGATGCTGATGTCTGCGCCCCCGCCACCACGTCCATCTCGACTGTATCCTCGTCGGCAACGACCTCGTCCTCCAGTTTGTCTACTTCATCGACCGTTAGCACCACTTCTAGCTACGCTTCAAGCACTAGCAGTGTAGGCTATCCCGATGATACTGTAAGCACGTCCTCTAGCATTGCCTCTAGCGCCACATCTTCCTCCAGCTCTGCCTCGATTACTAGCAGCAGCATCGTCTCTTCTTCGTCCACCTTGACTAGCGCATCTACTTCAAGCTATGTTGCTACCACAAGCAGTGACTCGACTGTTAGCACTACGTCTAGCACCGATTCCTCCAGCAACACCATTTCAAGCTCTACAGTCACCTCAAGCAGTGCTAGCAGCAGCACTCTGACTTCCAGCTCTACTGCCACTACGAGCAGTATCTCAAGCAGTGCTACTGTCTCGAGTAGCATCTCCATTTCCAGCTACGAAACCACCACAAGCAGTGAATCGGCTTCTAGCTCCTCTTCAAGTACTGAAAGTGCCTCTTCGTCCGCTAGCAGCACCGTCTCAAGCTCTGCTGGCACGACAAGCAGCTCTTCCACTGCTAGTACTGAGTCTACTTTGAGTTCTACCTCGAGCACTGCCAGCAGCATTTCAACTTCAAGCGTTGCGGCTACGACGAGCAGTGCCTCAACCTCAAGCTCCGTTGATTCTTCGAGTAGCCTGTCCTCGACTACATCCTCTTATGTCGCTACTTCCAGCAGCGCTTCCACTAGCGTTTCTAGCGCTGTTTCCAGCTCAAGTGTTGCCGCTACCACGAGCGATGCTTCTTCAAACTCTACTAGCTCGTCAAGCAGCTTATTTTCGGCCTCGTCTTCCGTTGCTACCTCTAGTAGTTCCTCCGATAGCAGCACATCTAGTTCTTCTATTGCAGCGTCAACTTCTAGTGTCTTAGCGAGTGCCACTGAATCTTCGTCAAGCTCACTCATCACAAGCAGCAGCACTGTTTCATCTATTACCACTACCTCCAGTGCCTCGTATAGCACCTCGACTACCTCTTCGGACGATGACGATGACTGCACTGCTGACGAGACTTCGAGCTCCTTCACTGAGTCAGCCACTCTCAGTGTCTCAGCAACTACCACCGGATCTCAGAGCGTTTCCCAAACCAGCTCATCTAGCAGCTTCGCAACGGCGACGGCCTCTTCCAGTGTCTCATCTTACACTAACAGCAGCTCTTCTACCGTTACAACCACATCTAGCGGATACCCGACAGCGACGGCTACCTTCAGTGCTTCCTCGGCAAGCATTACCTCGTCCTCGTACCCCTTCAGCAATTCCTCCGCTGTACAGTACACGACTAGCACCGTTAAGACTACGACCGTCTACACCGTGACATCGTGCGCTGCCACGGTAACCAACTGTCCGGCTCGAGGATCCGTCGTCACCGAAACAATTGACTTATACACAACCGTGTGCCCCGTTACCGAAACTGAGAAGCCGACCACCGTTCTCACCTCAGTTCCCACCACAGTTCCTACCAACGTCCCCTTGTCTACAAGCACGATCTACAACACTATTGTTGCTACCATCACCAAGTGTCCGGCCTATGTAGAGAATTGTCCTGCCAGAGTCACCACCCAGACCGTCTCTGTCTCCACTGTTCTGGTCCCTGTCACTACCAAGACCTCCGAGGCCACGCCCATTACTACTGCTACTGCTACTGCTGCGGCCACCTACCCCGTGGGCAACAGCAAGCCCGAGACCGAGATTTCGTCATCAAAGCCCTTCCAGGCAGCCGGCGCCACCACTTACCCGGTCGCCGGCTCGGAAAGCACTGCTAGCTCCAGCACAGCAATTATCCCTGGCTCTTCTAGCAGCAGCAGCAGCTCGTACGCTGCCAGCACGCTGACCTTCGCCGTGTACCCCGCGGGCAAGACCGGCAGCAACAGCACTCTCCCCGCGTACAGCGCTAGCGCCGCTACCGGATACTCGGTTGCGCCGACGACGGCGACGAGCTCGAGCGTTGGATACACTGCCGCGACTGTATATCCCACCGCGTCAGCTGTGGTTACGGCCGGTTCGGCTAAGACTGCAACGTTGAGTCTGGGTCTGTTGGCTGTTGTTGCCTTGATGCTGTAGATGGGATAGTTGTAGAAAGGAGAGAGCTGATGGATAATAGGGTGTTGGTGGTGGATGAGAAGGGGAACGAGATAAATAATGAAACATATATTTGCATCTACTTAGATATTTATCAGATATATATGTAGATGAAAGGATATAGCGAATGGAAGTTGATCTATGTATTTGTTTTCGAAGTACATATCTATGAACAACATTATATGTGAAAGCGTGAGATCCTTATCCGTAGTTTGTAGATAGGTACGGTTAAGAACATGCTTTATGCAGAGAATGCAGTGTATTCATGAATTGACTTTTTCGAGGGCTGTCCTACCCAGTACCTGCCTAATGTCAACTTTTTCATCTTGTTTTCCATCAGCTGTACCTTCCAGGTGTAACATACCTAAGCAGTGTTGCTAGGTTCTTCTTTTATACATCTGGTAGTGTCGACCCGTTATCGTTTTATGACGTCATTGAATGCCTAAATTTTGAGTTGCACCGTGAGCCGGACCTGACAAACAAGATGTCGATCCGGATCAGTGAGAAGGCATTGGCCACTCTGTGACTCTTGCCTGGCAACTGCCTGGGAGGCTCCTTACCGCCTTGGGTGCCAGGAAAAATTATAAATACCTGGGCCGCCCTCCCAATTTTTCAAGAAATTTTTTCTTCCTTTCTTCTTCATACTTACCTTGTTCCGCACACCCCAGCTCAAGAATCGGGGTGCGCAAGGGGGGAGACCTGCATTGCACAGCGCGGAGTCGACCCTCTTCTATTATCCCTCGTGGATCGTAGGGAGCGCAATTTTTGATGTCGATTTATTCTCATTTTCGTTTTGGACGGTGCCTTGCCGCATCGTCATAAGGAAGATGGTCTACTAGAGGTCTTGGCTTCGCACGTATGTTGAAGTGCGCACAAAAATTGCGTCTACTAAGTCATTAAAAGTCGACCAGTGCATTGCTTTCGATGACAATTGGAGTAACCTACCTATACAACTGATCATGAAAATCGCAGATGATATGAGCAAGAAAAAAATTTTGAAAAGCATTCAATACATGTCGAAAGGCAAAATATATATGCATCAGCCGCGAATCGAACGCGGGGCCCATCGATGGCAACGATGGATTTTACCACTAAACCACTGATGCCTTCCTACAGTTTCTTAGATAATGATCGCTTAGTTGAACAACTTTCTAAAGCGCCAATATAATCACAAGCTAGTGTCTCTACCCCTCCTGCCTTCATAATGTTTAGCGCTCAGTTTGTTATTTTAGAATCATCTTTAATCCCACTGACGAGCCAGTCACGGGCAGTTACTCGACATCTTTCCTAGACTTCATTATTGACGTAAGTACGCATTAGCACTTCGCTGCATCTTACATTTTAATGCCTTCTTTGCTACTCGTCGCCCATTTGATGCCTCTCTCCTTACCAATCATCCCATCGGTAACGCCCTTGATCTCATTCTGGCACCAAACATTGTCTCCCGAGGCATTCGCAAGCGCGAACCCGTACTCGGATAGGAACTCCGGGTCCACGGTCCCTACCGCTAATGCAACATCGTCGCGCGACTCGTCCCGCCAATACAGAAAACTTCCGCAGCCGGTACAGAATGCGCGCTGAAAACCCGGCGTCGCATTGAAATTTTTAAGCGTCGTAGTAGGGGTTAAGAATGCGAAGCCGCTCAACGGGACAGTGTGCGCTAGAAGAAACAGGCTGCCCGTGCTGCGTCGACATTGTGTACATTGGCATGTTCTACTCTGAGTTTCGTCAGTCAAAGCTGTTCATCGAAAGGCCTATTCATAACATTCATTGGAGGTCAATTAATGATATTATCATAGTACTTATACATACCAAATTCAAGAAATCATGGTCACTAGGGAAGTCAACCTTGTATCTGATGGCGCCACAGAGACAGCCCCCTGTAATAGACGTCGGTTTCGGGAAGTCGATGGGCGTTGGTTCAGACATCTTATTTGGATAATGAATCAATACGAATCCCGTAAGTCAATGTCTTTTTATTCTTGAATTGTAGTCTTAATCCATATATTTCAGCTTAAGGGTTGAGTTCTTGGAGTAGATAGAATAAATCTCTTATACAAATCCCCGCTTGTCAAAGACGCCTTACAGCACGCCCTTCATACCTGGGTACAGTAGGAACGTGGGACCACGTACCATGGACGATATCGCTCCTCTAACCATTGGTCTGGTCGCTACAGCATCTACAAATGACATCCCTAGGAACGAAGCCTGCAGCTCATAGGCTGACAAATTCAACATGGGACCTCATTACCTATGAAGCTATAGATAAGAACAACCGCTATCCATGAACCCTCGCGGATCCCCACATTCACGTCACGTCACTACCATTGTAGTTAGTATAGTACCTATATTCGGCGTAATATGGAGACGCGTAGATGCAGACGAGAAGTATGAGAAACCAGAATAGGTAATTTGATGGTTAGTGGACCAATCGAAAACCTCTGTGGACAACAGGGGACACCCTATTTGCGCTTTGAGTACCTTCACTCTCCCTTGCGTCACCATAAAACGATCATGGAATCGTGATCCCGGCCTTGGCCTTCATCGTCGAGTTTTTCACCCAAGAAGTAGCCTCGAGAATTTATTAAAAACACGACGAAGAGGGCACTCATCTTCCTCACACACTGTTATTCTAATAATAAAAATTCTTGCGATCGATAATCTTAGGGGGCAATATTCTCATCTAAATATAGAATTCATGGATCCATTGGCATCAATGAAGCGTTGGTCAGTACGCTCCCTCGCGCGGTGACCACGTCGGGCTCTCGACCAAAACAACAGGCTCGCGTCCCGTCAAAACCGGCACGCCGGCGTCAAGCGTAACTTCAAGAACAGGTGCCTGGTCGCTCTCCTCCATGCGCCATATCGCCAACCCGATCCAATTCTCCCCGTTATAATTTAGGATCCCCTCGGGAACGGGAAAGTTTGTCTGCGGTCCGATGTGGCCGATGAACTTGCCGAACTGCCACCCGTTCACGTAGAGCTGGATGCGCGCGGCCCCGCCAGCGACGTTACGGAAAGTGAAGGAGAGCGGGATATCGTAGGTGTCGGAAGGTAGGTCGAGCGAAAGCGGCGCCGTGTAGTACGATATGCCCGGCTTATTCGGCGGAGAGAACGGCGAGCCGGTGGTAAAGTTCTGGATAGGTGGTCGAGGCTGGTGATAACCCTGTCTTTCGACGTAAAGCCCACCCTCGTTCAGAGGACCCCGCACGCGGTCGACATAGTCTTCACCTCCGAAATTTCCGGTGATTTTCCAGTTTATGGGGGTAGAGTCGATTAGAGAACTCGCGAGGCGGTAGTTGAGAACTCCGCGAGGCGCTTTGCCAGTATCGATGCCCGGTACGTAGTTGCCGTCTAGTCCCATGTGGTCGATGATGATCGTTAAGACGTACAGTTCTCCTTTGGTGAGACCTGGCAGCTCGTAGGTAGCGTCGTAATTCGACTTGCTAGCGCTCCCGATCCATGACCCTAGAAAATTGTCATTCAGCCAAACCGAGTGGCCATGTGCAGTGCCTCCTTGAGTCTTGATCTTGAAGGACCTCTCGGTGCCCTTGGCGGTGAAATGACCCCTGAATAGTAGAATTCCAGCATGAAACCCGTAGTCTCCGGCGAAGAGCGAGGTCCGTGTCTGTAGAATCTGGTATGAATTGTTGGTAGATTGGTGATCTGCAGCTACCCATGCAGAATCATCATAGTTCGCCTGAATTTCGGGAAGCGAATCAATATAGGTCCATGATAATTCGGATAATAGAGGGATGTTAAGTAATGGAGCCGAATATGAGATGTTGGTTATTATTCGTTCGTCCTGAATGTCAAAACTTGTCTTCTTCCCATTTATAATTAACGTAGCTGTATCTCTGGGAGCCCCGATGACTTCGAAAATCGTCGACCTATTGAAATCTGCGAAGACGGAGAGCGTATCATTCCCGATAGAAGCAGATCTGACAAGATATGGCCCATTTATAATTAACGAAGAAGACGTGTTGGTTTCGGGTACCCAATAGTTGTAAGCAGAATTCCGGTCTACCGGTTCATTAGCCCTAACCATCAAGGAGGGAGAGTCGTTTACCTAAAATATAAATATGAAAATCGTCAATCTGAACGATCCTCCTTGTTGGGGAAGTTGTCCAAGCTAGAGTGAGGAGTCCTTCCGTCCTGTTAATCTTGATAGAATGGTCCGGCACGACCAGAGTGCGACCAGCAATTTTCACTGCGAGCTCGTTCATTTCGTTTGGTCCACTATATACAAGTAATACCGTCGCGTTTTGAAAACTCTGATGGGTTAAAATCTCAGCGGTCGAGTATAAAAGTCGAATCCCTCGTACGTCATAGTCAGTGACCACAATCTTCGAATCCCTGCCGTGAAGGGTAAGCGTGTCAAATAATGTGGGAATAGATAGATCACCTTCCGACGTAGGCAGCTTCATCGTGTAGTTATCCGAAGCAGTGCTGGAATAGTCGCTATGTCGGACGATAAAAAACGACGCGCTACCTAGTGTACTGTTGCCACCAAGTCTCGTCACAGTAACTGCTGCATTGGTGGCGTATGTCCAAACTAGAGCAGTCCCTGGCTGAGCAGTCAAATAGTCTGGTGACACCTTCAAACATTCAGCTTCAAGCTTTAATTCTGAATATTTCTCTCTTGTGACTGTCCGATCTTCGGATATAGCCTTGGACTCAGTCAGTATTTCATCTCTAGATCAAACGCCTGTACTCACTGCACCATAGTCATAAGACGAATAGCCACCCGGATGTCCGATGTTGCCCCAATTCGTACCACCGTAGATCTAGTGCGGGTCAGCGCTGAATTCGAGAATGAGGCGTTCACCACTAACCATATAGATATTATGGATAGTGGTGCCCGCAGCGAAGTTATTCTTGAAGAAGACTCGTTCAAACTCGTGATTAATAAACGCGGCACAGTTATTAAATCCTGGGCCACCCCACGGATCATAGGCACCACCTTGGAACTAGCAGCACTCAGTATTAATAGCATGATCAACGTTCGTGGATACCTTGGACTCACTTCGACTAACGAGAAAGGGGTCGAAGGGCTCTGTAATTCGTGGATTTGATGGTAAGTTCCTGACAGAGCCAGGGGCGGCCAAGTGGAAGGGTTTCCCTACGCTTGTTATTAGTATTAAAATAGGAGAGGAAATTATCATGCTAACACAATCAAACATAACCGGATACGCATCATGCCCCTACTTCTAGTTAGCGTGACCCAAATATCATGCTCGGCACAACGCACGTAGATGTTGACTTCACCTAACCCCGTACCAGGAGCATTGCGACCAAGCGCGACGGCGTCATTACTGATAAGGGGTACAACAATGCCCGCATTCCGGGCTTGATCCTCGACATATTGCATGTACTTGCCACTGGGGAAAGGGATCGAGACCCCGACTGTGTATTCATTCTCGGGCTGATATAATATAACAGGACCGCCGTTAGTAACTTGTGCGCGAGCGATTATAGCACCGATTTGGGCAGCATAGCTATTCTAAGTCAGCTAGATGAGCATAGGCGTAGTGATCTCAACGCGGACTTGTCCGTGGCTGCTAAATAATCTTCATCTGGTGTCCTAAGATGCCCCTTAACACGTTGGAGCCAGCCGGGAAATCCGCCGAAAGTAACTTCGGCATTGATGTAAGGACCAGGTCGCTTTAGCAGTTCAGTAAGTCATTTTAGGAAGACAGAAGAGTGCTCACTGCAATGAGATAGACGCCAGCCTTAGTCGCAGCTTCAAAGAATTGTTCGTAGGCAAACACTCCCTCGGCTGAAAAATTGCCAGGTTTCCCTTCTAATAAGGCCCAGTTACTATAGAAAGAGACGCAATTAAACCCCATCGCCTTGACCTTCTGAAAAATGTCAAGCCACAATGATGGGACGGGCAATCTCCAGGGGTGAAACTCGCCACTCATAATCATAACCCTTTCTCCTTTTATATACAACGAGTGTTCGTCCCAGGTTACAGCATCTTGCCATGATTTTCCATTATTTTCAGCGATTATATTAGGTGCCGCTGCCATAGACCAATCATAGTTCCGAATAGTCCAGAATACAAGCACCAAAAGGATGAAAGGCCGTATGAAACTCGCTGTAGTTTTGAATGTTTTTGACAAGACTAGCTCTCGTGTGAAACCTGGAACTCCCATGTCGACGAATACTAGGAATTGATCCGAAGAGACACGATTGTATTAGGTACCTAGGTACGTAGTGGGCTAAAAATATTGAGGCGTTTTGTACAAGAAATAATATATGTGTAACGGAACTATCCTTTCTATCAGGAATCATTGTAATACAGTTATTCTCTTATAGCCAGCCCTCCAAGATTGGGGTTGAAGGGCGAAGGCCAGACTCCCCGCGTTCCCGCATGTCGAAGTGTTACAGGTACCTACCTAGGTATTTAATTACGGGATCCGAAACACAGTTTATGCTCTTATATCACACTGTGGATGTGCACTGTGATGCTTTTGCAAAATAGGCTTAGTAGCCTACTAACATATTATGTAATGATGGGGTATGCATAGACCACATTTCACGTACCGAACACGCGATAACAATGTTACGTATTATCTTCCTTCAGCGATTCCTACCTTTCTACAGGTATAACAGTATATAAGGTTACACGTCGAGTAGTAACTTCCGTTCTTAAACGATATCTTTCAACCAATAAGGCTTAATTTACAGTTTAAATCCTGGAGTAGGTGCTTAGGTGTCTTGGAAATGAAACTCAATAGCCAGAGGCGTGCTTATTTATTACTGGTTAAAGTATATCATTAAACTTGTCGCCCTAAGCGAAAATGTCATGCCTTTACCTTCTGATCCTCCATCTATAAGTTGAACCAATTTGGGACTTTGGGAGGGCTTCATGTTCTAGGTGATATATCCATACCTATATATCATCCCAACATTCACTGAACGCCGTCTCTCTTGACACCTGAGATAATGAGTCACGCCCGTTGTCAGATTCAGCCGTGCAGTACAGTTGTTTACTGAATTTGATCCATTATTGGATATCCGATACATTCAGATCTAGGCACTGAGGTCATAGTGCTATACGCAAGGGCCCAATTCTCGTAAGCTTCCATCCAAAGCAACTTTATCCCCAGTAAAAATCCAAGGCTCACAATATTGCAGAAGTCGTCGCCTACCCTGGTAGAACTCAGCATGGAAGCACTTCAAGGGCTACGACCTTGCCAAAAGCGTCCTCGCGATGACTATGATAGTGATGATAAAGACCTCCCCGTTGCAAAACGGCAAGGACTACTACCACTTCATCCACTTGCGCATCATAGGGATCCTACGACGTACCTTCACAATGAGACAAAGCAGAATGCCGGCCCTCAAGAAGTATTTAATCATGATATTCAACAGTCACAGCAAGATCTCGCCCAGCTGTCCACGGATTCGTGCGCTCGTTTCCCGCAGTTCCGTATGCTTCCCCCTGAATTGCGTCGCCAGATCTGGCGCGAGACCTGGGAGCATCGGAATGTGAAGTTGGCACGAAGAATCAGTCTCGTCGCTGATGCCCGTCAGGAGGGCCAACGAGATACCGATCTGATTATATTTGCTTTACACCATAGCCATGTCACTCGGAAGCACTGGGATATTCGAGAACATGAGAGCAACGACTGCCTCTATTCACAAGGGCCCTACGCACAAGTGGCTCCCAAAATAGTCACACACACACGCTCGACAACTCGACCCCCTGTATCTCTATGGGTGAATAGGGAATCTCGAGACGAGACATTGATGCGCTTCAAGCTGTCTCTTACGTTACCAGTCCTTTGTCCATACAATCAGATTCGCGACAAGCCGTCCGAACTCTCTAATATTCGTACATTTGTGTACTTCAACTTCGACCTTGATAGATTGGTATTCCCCCTTCACAGCCCACTGTCCACTGCATTCTCGCAACTTGACCTAAGCCGTCTACGACGAATTTCTATCCCAGAGTGGGGACCTGCTCTGCCCTTTTTTACTAAACGTATTGGGCCAAACGATCATATGCCACGACATTTACTCCCGAAAATCGACGACGAAGATCAAGTAGTTCGCTATGACGAGTTCAAGTATGTCTGGCGACTACTAAGAAAATGGTTCCCCTCCTTACGTGAGATACATCTCGACAAGTTCACCGAATGCGAGCGCTACCAGACAACATCCCGCCGTCAAGAAGGTACATATAGCGACCTTTATCTGACGCGTGGAACCCCTAACTGCGACTTCTGCAGTAACAGCCAGTCTGCAATTACGAGATTCTTCCCTAGACTGGGTCGGAAAGACCAATACGGGCCTCAGCATGATATCGACTGCATACTTGAAGGGCATGGCATTATCCAACCCGTGTTCAAGAAACGGACGTTGACAATCGGTAGAGTGAAGGGTGAGCGAGGCAAGCTATATGAAAAGGTCACCGTTACATTCTGGGCTATCCACGACGACGATAATCACAGTAACGTCGTTGACCTTCGCGAGCGAGGGAGAGATTGGGCTTCAGTGAGAAGGCAGGTTGTCGCAAGAACGCTTGAGCGCGCATTAGGACCACCGGTAAAAGGAGAGTACATGACTTATCACATCAATCCAGAGGCCATTGAACGTGGTTGTTGGGATGAGGATGATTAAGTTTCATTTGGAGATTTGCGATATTAGCAAGAATATGTGAAAGCTGGGATGACTCTGCGAGTTTGAGACACATCTAGTGTTTATGATAGTAAATTACCTCCATATGCGTGTAGGCAATGAAATAATCGAGAGGGTAATGCTACTTCTGCTTCCATGGAGAGGTATACGTGCAACATGTCAATGAATAACGATCCCGGGAAATTCCCTACTAACTAATACTATAGTAGGTAGGTAACTATAATGACACACCAACCCCTACCCCCTTGCTCTCCCCTCTCTCTCTTTGTAGAGGCAAATCACCTTTCTTCGGGTATTCCATACCAAAACTTATAATACTTATGTCGATATCGAGAACTTTTAATGTAGCTGGGTTTGACCGAATAACAATGATAATAATTGCCTGGTGCTTTTACTCGTGTACACATTTAGGTACCTAAGTACTTGGCTACGTAAGTGACATACCTATCCTTTATAATGTATATACTCAATTAGTTCCTTTGTAGACTTCAAGTGATCATGGCGTATTAACCCACTAGATTACACAGCATGCTTGAATCAAGTCCTATGTTAACAAAATATTGAGAACGTTCACAACGCAGTAAATAAGCACCTCCGGATTTAATAAGAATTTAAGATCTTATATTAACTCCAGAATCTATTTCATTTCACATACCTAGTACACTTTGTATATATGGGTATATCGTATTTGGTCATTGTACCTGGGTATCATTAGAAATATCCAAGATTCTATAAACACAATCACATAAGGTCCTGTGAGATATGTCGATTCCAATGTACTTGAATGGGACCTCATAGTTTTGACGATGATTTAGAGGATATTCATGATATTTCCCACTATTTTATATATGGACTTCGTCTGTGGATATACGTAGATGCCTTAGTTACGCCTGTGAAAGGGGTAATGCCGCTTGCTGTCGAGGAAGGAACCTGTTGCCTTAGGGAATAGTCGAGTCTAGGGTCAGTAGCTCCCAAGAAACAGACGCAGAATGCTATTTAACCATGGAAATTAAACATCCTCTTAATTTCTTATCTCAACTTCTCATCATCAAGAACCTTCTTCCCTAATCCCCATCCCCAATCCCCACAACGTAACCCAAGCCCATCTCAACAACACTATACTACGTTGGACTAGAGTCCCAACTAACTTGCCCTAGTGTACAGATCATCTAGTAAGTCATCCTTCATTTCCCCTCTTCTTCTGTTTTGATACCATCTACTACACCATCGCGTCGTGTTGACACTTCATGTGGTATCAACCTCTATTGAATGCTCACAACACATCCACCTCCCTTCTATCTCCTTGAAACACCAAGCACCGTTGCCCCAGCTCCGTTATACCTGCTGTTTACCCGGGTATACCGATACCAAGTTATTCTTCAAGATCAAGTATCATCGTCCATACTCCTGCATCTACTCAAATCACCCTTCGTATGTCTTCTCTTGTCTTGGTTTTCAATTTCCGTATCCTTGATCATTCATTATCATCGCTTTTCCTGCTGTTTGGTTTAGTACACGCGTGAGTCTCCGTTGAACCGAACCGAGTGGCTCGTACGGTACCACTAAAGCGATGAGAGGTTATACCAAATCATATTTTCTGTCGCATCAATAAACCACGATTGGTGTAGTGGTGCCATACCGAACTATGAGGGATCCCAGATGATTGAAACCTTCTGATCGGGAATATTTTTATTCATTTGTCATGAATTTTATTGTCACTATTCGCGTCACACCACATATAAATACTTCAAGTCGTCCGATGCTAACCTTCAACTTCTATATGCAGTACTCCTACCTGCCGTAGGTATCTTCGAAGAGCCAGGCACGAATAAGTGGTTCACCCAACTACGATGTTCGACCCGTCGGTGTACGGCCGCCCTCAGGCCAACCAGCCTACCCCTCTTGATCCCAAGGCTCGCGACTTTGCTCCGGCCAGCGGAAACGATTCCGAGCCCGTGCTCGATGCGACTTTCTTCACGCACACTATTCCGGATATTCCCCCGGATGCCCATGTTGTCGGTCTCTGTACTGTGCCCCGCGAACGAGCAGGCATGGATCAACTTGGTTACCATATCGCCGATTTCCTGGCCTTCAAGTACCTTCTTCACGATGATGCCCATCGTGGATCGCAGGATTGGTTGGCTCATTGTGACGTTGTCAGCATCGTCAACGCCAACCCCAACGTCTACGTTCACGGTAAGGAACGTCGAATTCTTCTTGACGCCGAAGGCATTGGTCATCAAGGAACTTCTTACTCGCACGCGGCCGACCTAAAGGTCCAGACAGATCGCCAGAAGTTGATGGCGGATTTTGTCATTGCTTGTTCCGTCAAGGCGCATTTGTCTAAGCAATCAGGTACTCCTCTGGTTATTATAGTCTGTGGCCCGACTACTGTTCAGCAGGATGTCTTCTTCGGCGAGACCGATGCAGTCCATCACTTGAAGAGTGAATCCATATGTCATGCGATCGGTGGAGATGTTGAGACTATCATGGTAACACCTGCTATGTTCTCCGCTGGCTGGCAAGTTAATCCGTCTTTCAATATCTCTCCCGTGGAGGTACGCGCCAACCGCCGTGAATTCCTCGCAAGGCAATTCGGTGGCGTTTTTACGAAGGCCCATATGGACTACTTCATTGGTACAACTTGTCCCTTTTTCGTCGGTGATGGAATGGATATGGAAGAGGTGAAGGAGAAGTTCTCTAATCCTTTCCTGCTTTCTTATCAGCAGAGAGAGATCCTTGCAGACTTCAAGGTGACTCTCCACAAGTACCTTGCTGGCCGATTGTCTGTTGATCTCGGCAACCATTCCTTCAATTTTGAGACTGAGCTTGATGATTGGGAGCATCTAATTGGTCCCCGTAAGTACCTTTCACTGCAGGATTACCGCAAGAAGTGGGAGAAGCTTGGAGTGAGCGCGCAAATCGTAGATAACGAGCGCTTTAGCTTCCTTGGAGATGCCTTTGGTGGCAGTAAGAAGTCGCAGCTTAGCCACCTGAAGCATCTCATCAAGGAATCATTTGAGTCTTGGCCTGCCTACTGGGAATTGCCAGCCAGCAATGACGCCAAAACAACCTTCAAGAAACTTCTCGATGAACAGGATGTTCATGACAACTTTTGTCATGAGATATTCAGCGTTCTTGAGCATCGCGCTACGCTAGCCATTCTCGGAGACATCACTGTTCGTTGCCTGAATATTCCAGGGCCAACTGAAGAACGATGCAGGGACTGGAACGAGAAGGTTGACTTTAGAAGTGTTGCCGCACCATACAACGAGATTATAGACTGGATCCCCGGCGTTCATGTACCTCCTGGAGTCAACCCTGATAGCCATCGTGCTATTCAACAATACTTCGATTATCCGGTCTTCTATCTAGCCCTGGCCGTCGTACGACAACGAACTCGCATTGGCGGGAGCATGCATCCGATGACAAGACGCATCCATGACTGTATGTATAGCAACGGTCTCTGTTGATACCTATTACTAACAATGGTTATTTAGTTTTGGAAGGAGTAAAACATCATCAGATTGAATTACTCTGCAGCATTCCTGAGGTTGAGAAGAAGTGCGTAGCATGGCTTAAGGCCATTGAGATGCCCATCCGTCGTCTGGGCGAGGATTCAGCTGCTGTGAGTCAACTTGAGGCACCAACACAGGCCACGATCGAAGACAGCGAGACTGTGCTACATGATCCACAGCCTCAACCCTCCACGCAGCTGCAAGACATCTTGGCGGGTTTCATTTCAGATGGACAGTCCTCTACCGGCCCATCTATTATGCGAAAGACTGAGGCGGAAATCGATGATTACCTCGCTAAGAACAGTAGTGCGCAGGTTGCGTTAACGGCCTTACTCGAGAAAGATTCTGACAAAATGCTGGAGCGTCTTATCGTGAAAAACAGACGCCTACATGAGAGATTGCAGGAAGATCCTAATGACGATTTTTACTTGTCGATGAAGCCTGATCTTGACCACATAACCCAGAAGTTCCTCATTAAGGTTGAGAAGCGTCGGGAGCGTGCTCAGCCGGTTGCTAGTCAGCAGATGCCTCAGGCAGTCGGCCATCAAGGCCCGGCGCACCCGAATCAAGAGCAGCAGGAATCGCAGTCTCCTTCATGGGTACCTCCTCATCTTCGACATAAAGTTAGAAATGTGGCTGAGATAACCAAGGAGAACAACCCGGGTATGACACCGCATCACGGCAGTAGCTCGCACACGGAATCTAACCGTAATCAATCGACGGGCAACCAGCCATCCGCTTTGGCTCCTCGCGACCCGGAACAGCGTAAGAAGAAGTCTGTGAGAATTAACGCATAAACCCTCATGCGTCGTCACAACAGCCACAATGACAGATGGTAGCATAGCCCGCGAGGTCTCTCATGTGTTGAGCATCTGTTTACGAATGGAACTGAACGTTATGGCTTGGTGGTATTTTGGTCAAGCAATCTGAAGTGTCCTGCTTCTTTGTGCGGGAAACAGGTCTTCTTTTTTTCTGGTTTGGTGTCAGGTGGCGCGACTGCAAATGAGCAATGCCTACGTCAACGCCAGTCCTATATGATTACCGGTTGATCTCCGGGGTTCAAGAAGAGTTGTTGTCTCTATCCAGATCAACAATCGACATTTTTATTCCCTGACGTCTTGCTACTGCCCATATTCTCAATACCACGGGCCGAGTCTCTTGGCGGGGGTGGATAAGTGTCTATTTCCTTTTTTTTCTTTTTTCTCCAGTTTCGTGGAAGGAATGGTTGGCAACGAAGGTGGTTACCATGTGCCCACTCTAAGTTTAATGTAGGGGCTGGAGTTGCTTAGGCACCAAGGAGTTATTTGGCTGTTTCGTATGTAGAAACTCAATGAACTCAAGGTACCCCTATTATACTTATTGGTTATCGTGACTTGTAAGCGAATTTGTTTCTACGAAACCCAGTAGGAGTGATACTTACCTAGAATAGTCCTTGTAGCCGCTTAGCTCTACCAACGAAAGACAGATAATAGTGACAGTACTTACTTACCCGCACAGGATTTGTCAAAGACAGTATTACTTACGGAGCCCCTTTATTATCTTTACTACTACCACTTTTACTTTCACCTTTACTCTTACCCCCTTTTTCTCCGCCCACCTCTTTGGAACTCACATCCTGAGGAGCCCTAGTACCTCTCTGGAAAACGAACAGGGCCTCGTCTTTACCAGGGAAGCTCGGCAGCGCAACCTGTACGACCTTGACCCAGCCGTTGCCCGTCTGCTCCCGCTCCATATACTCATCCATGCTCTCCCCCCTGAATCCCGTATACCCGTTCCGGTTCTGCGTCCCGACGACCGCCAACGTGTCCCCCGAATACGAATCCAGCATCGCGCGCGTGAACCCGCCTTCCGAACCGCCCGCCACCGACCCCCCGACGATAGGATACACCAGCAAGAGCACGGGCTCATCCGGATCGACCGCCGCCGCCGCCGCCGCCGCCGCTGTTTCCGCATTCGCATCCGCATTCCCACCAGTCTCCTTCACTTTTCGCGCCCGCCGCTTCTTCAGAAACGCCGCGCCCTCGGAGAGAACCGTGTCGTCGACCCAGGTCACGCGCCACGCGCTCTGCGCGTTGTCCACCGCCACGCACCGCACGCCGTACGCGCGCAGCATGTACGTCCAGTACCCGCCGCCGGACCCGATATCCAGGACCTCGCGCCCCGCGGCCAGGAGGCGCAGGATGGAGAGGGCTTCGTGCGAGGGACACGCGCACCCGAAGTGGTGCATGAGGACTGGCAATATCGGGTGCGAGCGCAGACCCGCGAGTGTTGAGGCGGGGCAGGGACCTGCCCATTCTAGCGCGGTGCAGCTCCAGTTTAGGAATTGGAGGTACGGGTTCATAGGGACGGAAGCTTTTTTGGCGCCGACTTTCGCGATTGAGAGGTGTGGGAGAGAGGGGTGCAGGTATCGCTTCGATTGGAGGTAGGTCGCGATCGAGAGCCGTAGGCTGTCTTTCTTGGCGTTGGAGAGGAGCGTTTTGAGGGCCGAGGGCGTGGATGTGTATGGTGAGAAGAGGGAGAGGTAGGATTCGATGTCGGCGCGCGGGGGCGGGGGGAGCGAGGTTAGGGTTTGCTTTTGCGGTTGCGGAGGCGGATCGGCGGTGGTGGTGTTGGTGGCGTTGTTGGTAGGAGAGGGCGCGGTGGGTGGAGATGAAGGCGCGAAGTACCAGGCGTGCAAGCCGTTCTGTCGGCCGAGAGATATGGCGTGCTGCACCTCGGCAAGCGTCACGCTGATGATCGCGTGGTAGGTGTACTTGTCGCGGTGAGGCGGCGGTAACGAGAACGACGCGGCGATGGCGGACGCGAACTCATCGTCGGCGAGAAGCGCTTCGGCGCGCGCGTGCAGCGGGGCGTCCGCGGTATAAGTCGTCGGGTTCCAGGACGGCGCGCCTTCGCAGTATCTGAAGGGTTTATTCCTATGAGCCATTGAGCCGATCATATATCCTAGTCCGACCCCTTCAATTCTGCTCGAATAAATAGAGGAAATGGAGAAATAAAAGTTCAAACGTCGTCGACGATCACAGATCCGTAGCGGATAACTGCTTAAGCGGGGTTAGTCGTTCCCCGCATTCAGGGGTATGTGTAGGGTAGCTAGCTGTTTTTGCCCGACCGTCCCCCTAACCCCTATTCGATGCGAGCATATGCGCGTAAGGCGAATGCACGTATAGCGTAGAATTCAGGTACGTCGGGATGCCATGTGCGACAGCGATGGCCATGCATACGATGTGAGCGATCTTGATAGATGGTAAGAATGCCATAGATCGCTCCATATTTATGCCTAAAGCTACCTTGTTCCAACAACGTCCTAACGGCGCACGATAGTCGTACTTGTGACAAAGCTAAGATTTGGTACTCGCCTCTTTCCGGAGAGACATTGTAACCACTTGTCACCAGGTTACTGAACCGCCGTGTCGAAGTGCCATGATATTGTACGGCATGCCAACATGTTCTCAAAAGCTCCAGTTCAACATTCGGGCTTTGTTTCATGGCGAGCCGAGTCCTTGGGCTTGGATACCTGTGTGGGATAGTGCAAGGGATAATCAGGCGACCGTGCAATCTGGCTGTGAATTTTCTTCATCAACTTCCTCAGCCAACCTTGGTGTCACGAAATAGAGCTTGTTCGCCTTGAGAAGGCATCAAGATAAACATGCTTAGAAACGAAATCCGAGGAGTGTCTCCTAACAGATGAGTTTCTATTTAAGTGTCGGTCCCGAGGTATTTAAAAGCTCGTCTCGGAGGGGGGGTAAGTAAGCCTATCGGGAACTTAATGGGTTATTGTTAAAGAAGTTAACAATATGATAGCCAACGAAATAATTGTGAGAATAGCATCCAGGGATTCGGCTGTAGTATAAGATTAAGCGAACGGAGTTATAGCATGGCATTTTTAAGTGGTTTAATAAAGTGTGCCCCTGGATACCCCGAAAAATGGCAGGGAGATGCATGTCTATATAAATTACAAAGATATCTATGAAGAATTCTGTGGAATACCTACCAAGGCCATGCTCCATACTAGATTCTGGAACTTGCCGAACTTGTCCACTCGTAATAACCGTCTAAGAAGTATGAAAGAAGGTAAAACTTACTACCTGATCAACATTAATAATTAGGATTATCTTCAGCCTTGCATCTTCCCGTACGCTTGGTAACTCAGGGCGGTTGACGTTAAGAACGGGTGGACCCGGCCGTCTAGAAATAGAACCAGGCGAAGTTTTCGATACGTAATCCCCAGGAGGTTATAATCCCCACGGCCCTTCTGGATCTTAAAGCTAGTATTTCGCGCGTAAGACGTTTCTTGGATGACAAATCTAGTCGGTACCTAGCCATCTTCCTACCAAGGCACACACGACGTGACTAGCTCATAATATGACAGCGTACGGCGTAACCTTACTAAGCTAGGTCGAAGGTATCAGAGAGCTAACCTGCCTATTGGGTGATCATCTTCCAATTATTCTTCTAGGGGAGAACGTTTGGTATGTTGTCATATCGGAGAAAATCCATGCAGTCGCCCTCTCCATCGTAGGGTCCCATCTGCATACAAGTCAGTCCCTGGCGCCAAATTTAACATAATTATCATTCATGCCGGGCCCTACCTGCTTGCCGGGTTCTCCTCCGGTTCGTTTATTGTGTAGCAAACCATAAGAACCTTCGAATCGAGGAATCGGGTTTACTCCTTACCTGGTATCCTTACTCTGATAACCCAATTAGGACTCACGAATCATCCCGACCAGTCACCATCTGCAGATACCATTAGAAATGAATACTTGGTAGAATATTTCCTCTCCATGTTGCCGAAAATGCGTTTACAGTGTTAAGTAAGTATTATTTAGAATAAATTTGCTGGTGCTGTATCGAGCCCAGCGCATGCGATATGTTTGTGGGCATCCTGTTATTTCCCGCCTTGTTGTTCTTCCATGACGGGCCCATCTCATACAGACATGAAATTAGTATGACGCTGTAGAGGCGAACTGCACAAGATTCGATTGAAAAGCTGCTGCAGTGCGGCCTTTGGAATAAAGGTGGGGGGTTGAGTTGTCTATCCGAACCCCCTGACCCCTGACCGACATCATATACAGTATACTAAACGGACCAAATAGGGAATGAAGAATACCATAATAAAGGTAACCATTCCCTTGTATTAAACTAGGTCGGATGATATTGTTCGGTTTCGGATTAGCAATTGAATCAGTCGAATGCCTAACTGTCCCATTGTTCACCTCGATGCTCGAGAGATCAATTTATCAACTAGAGATCTCCAACGCGAAAATAGCATTGGGCGCTCTTTCGGACGTCATCCTTTGTTCCAAAAAGTCCCTGTTCAAAAAGTCCCAAACTTCTTTGTTTATTTGTGGTTGCGTGAATTCAACTCGCGGATTGGCTTACTTGGCCCCCTCCAGGCGAGCTGCGGTGTATCGGTGTTGCAATCCTCATTACGCGGGTACTTCAGTCATCCAAGACTCTCTGCCAGCGCTGGTGCTCATGCGGGCATCCGAGCTTGATGCTACCAGTCTCTTTAATAGCCACATCCAAAAAACTGTATTCCATCAAGTACTCGCTCGGTGGAACAGATACCGTGGCGTAGAACTGAGGTAGGGCGAGTCCTGCCAATTTTGAAAGGAAAACCCAGGCCATCCCCCGTTTTTATTTCATCATGTCGAGTGAACCAACCCGACTATTCTAACGACCAGATGCATATATACGCATGGCTGCTTGAATGTCTCAGATTCCTACTTATCACCTGACTCTTGACATATAACGACAAGCCATCATCGATTCTTTGATCACCATTCACTTCTTTGTTAGCCATGGCAGACTTCAGTCGGGGCTCGACCGTTGTCGTTTCCCCCAAGTTACAGCAAAGCTATGCCCGTCTTCCTTCGAACATATCACATTATACATCCCTTCCACCTCTTCCATCACTACCAACCAGAAGCCAAGAGCAGAAGCTCCCCAGCTTACCGATCGCCTTACCTCGACTCCGAATCAATAGCGTCACAGGAGCGGCGCACTGCAATAGCACGAACGCCATACCCCTGAGCCTAACTGTTGAACGACCTTATGCCTCTACGAACTTCCCTCCAAAGCTCAATGGGATTCCAGTGAAGGTAAACTGGAACTTTCAATTGTCGGCTCTCCAAAACTGCGATGCTGAAAAGCCTCCGGTTCATCATCTAATGAGCAGGAATCCTAATGCAAATGTCTATCCGGTACATACACTACAGGCTTCGTCTATGGCAGGAGAAGGTGTAAACGGTCTATACGGGGCTCCCTCCCAAGTACTCCCCTCATTCCAGCAATTAGGGGACGAAGCCGAAGCGGTTGAGCAAGTCGGGTCTGGGGCCATCGTGGCGGATAACATATCGGTCGACGATGCCGGCTACGAATCAGACACGGCAACAACTGCATCTACGTCGGTGTCATCGAGCATTTGGGATTTTTCCTTCGAGAATGGAAGAAGATATCACAAATTTAGAGAAGGGCGATACAACTTCCCGAATGATGATGTTGAACAGGAACGTGAGGACATGAAGCACGCGATGCTTAAGATGTTGTGTCAGCAACTTCACTTCGCGCCTATCGGAGACAACCCGCATGAAATACTCGACCTTGGAACTGGTACAGGAATATGGGCAATTGAAAGTGAGTTCCCCCTCTATTCGATGATTTTCTCTTTGATTATCAGGTTATTGACTCGGTTAGTGGGTGACAACTATCCCAGCGCAAACGTCCTTGGCATAGATTTAAGTCCAATTCAACCACAGTGGGTGCCACCTAACGTCCGATTCATGGTCGACGACGTGGAAAGCCCCTGGCTTCATCCTAAAAATCATTTTGATTATATACATTCGCGACACATGATCATGGCTATTAAAGATTGGGATAAACTGTTAAGGACATCCTACGAGTAAGTCGATGGAGCCTAGTCCAAGAGCGGTAGTTGAAGCTAAACAATATTTCAATATAGCCATTTAAGACCAGGCGGTTGGATAGAGCTGCAAGAAATCCATCATTTCCCCATGAGCAGTAACAATACCCTATCGAGCGACCATCCAGTTGCCCAATACTGGCAATATGTGGACGAAGGGTTGATCAACCTAGGGGTTAGCTTCAGGACATCGAACGAAGGCCGCATAGCTGCGGCGATGCGAGAATGCGGATACGTGAACGTTCACGAGCGAGTTTTCCACATTCCCATTGGTACCTGGCCGAAGAACAAAACTTTGAAGAGTGTCGGGCTGTACTGGAAGACGATCCTGCTTGATGGTATACAGGCGATAGCGCTCGGGCCGATGACCAGGGGATTGCATTGGAGAAGAGAACAGGTGGAGGCTCTCCTGGTTTCGGTGAGGAAGGGATATCACGACAACTCTCTACTCCTATACATGCCGCTCGTCTGCGTGTACGGCCAGAAACCCGAATCCTAGTAAAAGCCCCAGTGAAAAAGGGAAGCGGGCCTGCCGAGAGGCGGTCCAGATCGGGAAAAGAAGCTTATGTTAGGTACGAATGCGATCGGAACGGCAGAGCGACAGACGAAGTATTGAGGAGATTGTCCACAAGTCCACAAGTCCACAATATTCAAACAAACACAACCACTAGCTTGACTAATTTTAGACATTTTTCAGCCACCCTTGCTCGCAGGAGCCGTTATCATTGGAGAATCGCTACTTTTTATAGCCGGAATAGGAAATATCTTTTTTGACAATGCTCTCCACCGTGACGGTGCTAACTCGTTTAGTTCCCAAGACGATCTCCAGATTCGTGAACGCCAAAATGTGATAGGTAATATGCTAGATAAACAGATGGATCCATTCTCGCCCACGTTTTATCTATTTAAAAAGAAGTATACGAAATATACGGGGTCTTCTTATCACATGCGGCCAGAATCACGATGGGATGATCATATATTTGCCAGGGGTAACACCCGATGGCGTCGGAAACCTGTCAGACGAGAAAGCTCTCTGTCCCTTTTTCATGCCTCACACAAGCACAGCAATGCTAGATATGTATACATGAGAAACGGGACGTTTCCTCTCATAGATCTAGGCAGGCATCTATGCGTGCCTAAGTACTTTAATAGGTATCATACCATATCATGCTATATCATACCTAGCTCGCTCCGATTAAGCTCTTCCATACCTCCCTCCATCGCTTAGATCTTCCATGCGAAAATATCGGTGAACCCGCATGTTTGCTAGTTAATCTAGCTCATGTGTGGGTGCAAGATATCCGCGTGCCCGGCATCTTTCGAAGCAATCAAGCCCGCACCCGCATTGCCGCATAGAAGTGATTCGCCCTATGTAGGTACCCCAAGATTAGCAGATGGGATTCGCCTATCCGGGTTAAGTATCGCCGACGCCATCGCCGCCTCATACACTTAGGCACTGTACGCTAACCAAGCTCCCACCTCCCAAACGAGCGCCTTGCAGCAACGGCCGCTGTCACTTGAAGCAAGTAGCCGTTCGCTCCTGGGAGAAAGGAGAGAAGATGTGATGATGATTCGCAATCAATAATATGAAACAGAGAAGTAGCAAACACCCTTTACCGTCCGGCGTCGTCGCAGATAACCTGATTGATATGCCATGGGACGAATTTGAAGACGATCGTATAATCGTTCCTTTGCCGTACCTGCGGTTCATCTCTGTTACCCTACCTACCTACCCATCCACTCTCGAACCACATGCGAAGACGCATCTACCAGGTGTTAAGATGCTATCGCCCTGTTGTGCGACTGTCCTGAGATCAAGAGCCCCGATGGATGATTGGACGCGCCAAGGCCCCCGGCTTACGACTTTGAGATACCCATCTGCTTATGGTGTTGATGCTCAAAAGTTTCGCAATGTACCATCGTGAAAGAGGGACGGCTGTCGGTGGCTGCATTAGAAAGGTGACAAAATCTCAACGGCTAAACTGTAGCCATTAATTGACAATATCCAGCGCTATTTTATGGCGCTCACTCTCGCGAGCCACCAACGCCGTTTCGAATGAGGTTGGCCCTGAACATCATGCAATTGCTAACTGACGATGATTGCAGGAATTGAGAGCATTCCTCGACTGACTGATTGAACATCTCAATCTCTAAAAGTCTAGAAGTCTCAGGGGGCGTATTCAAAGCTCTACTTTTTCCTGTCCCGAGTACATCATACCAAAAGCACTTCACATGCTAACAAGACATCTGTAAGCACTTACTATGCAAGCCTCATGAATACTTTCAATAATTTAGTCACAATAAACGTCACGAGCAATATTTATGATAGTGTGGCGTTTCGGTAAAGATAAGCTAGGGACCGGTGAGGATATTCATAGCATGCCTAACGGCAGCATACTCGAAGCCACAATTGACAGGTCACATTTTGAATCCGAACCTATTATGGGGAGCCCAGGGAGCCTTAATGTTATCTGCATTGTTCTCCATTTTATTGGCTTGGAAAAGATCATGTTGCCATCAAGAGCTAGTTGGCACCTAGCATCGAGCAGTTCTGAATGCCTCATACCTACCTAATCTTCCACCTACCCTATTACATTCTTGAGACGAATTAGGCCAAGTACAAAGGTGCTAATATCTTCCAAGACGCTTCAATCAATATAAGCGAATCGTAAGGAAGCTGCTATCGCATAAAATAGCCATTAAATCATCATCATCATTATCACCGCCGTTTCTAATAGAGTCAAAAACGAATGACTCAAACTTAGGATGTAGAATTCGCAGGTCGAAGCAAGATCTACTATAAACCCCTATCATAATGACTTTACTTAAGCAATTGTCGAATTGACTGTTCCCATACCTAACATGTGAGTCTCTTGTTTATAACATTACATACCTAACCCATAGATCGGCTTTCTGAGCAAGTCCAGCGGATGTGTCAGATCAGCGGCTTGAAACCGCGTTTTGATACCAAAAGATCGCCAGCCAGATAAACCATACCGAATCTTGAATAGGTAGCCAATTCGTTGCAAATGGATAATAAGGCTATTCGATCTCTCCTCTCTTCGATTCGCCGATTCCCTAAATGCAAATCGGCTATTTGAGGGCTTAGCTTTTGCTCCTTAGGTAGATGAGAACGATCCCGACCTGGCTTATAATCAATTCCAAACCCCTCCAGCGCTGCTCAATTTCTAATGCATGCCATTAGCGCTGCGTTGGTGGTTGATCAATGCAATTAGATGCAGGTCACTAGCTAGACAAGGCAACTGAAGGTCCCTCTCACCGCCGTGGAAGTGGAACGCCATGCATGCACTTTTTAGGCCGAAGACCATCATGACGGGACCAATGGAATATTCGGATTGGTTACCATATTGACAGACTAGGTAACTCCTTGATATTACAACACCACAGATACTACGTTCTTAAATAGCATATGTTACATTATAGATGGATCCTATCGGTCGGTATCTGGGGAAAGTTACAGCTAATTAAGGGTGTTCCTGAAGAGAGGGAAAATGCCATAATTCTAACAGGAGATCCGGGGTGTAAAGTAAGGGAGCCGTGAACTCCGATGGGTTCGGTGTAGGCATCCGACATGCTAAAGGGGCGATATTCCCACCTCATGCCTTATAAGATCTGGCCCCAGATACCTCGACAGCAACCCGATCTCAACTCCGGAAACGATATGGCTTCCCTTCTAATTCCAGCTATCTTAGGAGAGGGACACTGCACAAGACTAGACACACTCACGTACGCACAGGGGTTACAATTCACTGCAGTGCAGACACCCGGGCAAGAAAAGGATAGCCGCAGCTAGACCGCCCACAGCAGGTCCGCACGACGGCCAAACACCACACGCAACCAGCCAGCCAGAAAGGGCACATAACGAAATCCACACTTGGCCCTCCAGGCTTTTTTCCCACGCTGCCGGGACTCCGATCGTCTCTGGTTGTTGGGCGCCGAGCTAAGAGCCCCCAATGGCCTAAGACACGTCGGGTCATACAACTGAGGGAAAGAAAGGTAATCGCTCTTCTGGGAGCTGCGTGTCTCTCGCGTCTCCATCTCGTTGGACCAACTCCTCCAATCCTTTACTACTGCCGCAGACAACACACACGCACACAGATCTTCTCACCCTCGTCCCGACCGGTTGCTCGTACCGAAGAAGAAAAAAAAAAGAATTACGGTTCTTTTTGCATGTCTGCCGTGTGACACACCACAAGCGAACGCCTCTTGGACCCAAGACCAAGTCCTCGGTAGCTGTCAACCAGTTCTCTGGTCCGGAAGATCCCTGGTGTTGTTTTATTTTAATTATTGCCATATTTTTCGAGACATATATTCGTCCTCACCCAGGAGTACCTTTCTAATTCAGAAAGGCCTTTGCGACTACTGTCAGACTTTGGACTCGGATGATAAACATCCGAGGGGCTGAAGTGGCCTATCTCCCTTGCAGACTAGGCGGCAAATCCGCTGACCTCTTCATGAGGGGGGAGGCGAAGGAGAGGCTTTATAGGTACGCATGATCCGGCATGATAGCTTATATTTCGAGAAATGGTAGAATTCTATATCACATACATATCTGATAATAGAGAAAGAAGTCTCCTAGAAAACTGAACAGGAGCATATCAGGAGACAATCACTATAGGAGGAGAGCAAACCTAGAGACTTACATAAAAGGCTAACGTCATTCTTTGTCGACTAGATCAACCTAGAGTCATCTCATTCGTCTCGTCTTCACATCTACGACAGCTGTCTCACACTATGAGCGCCTTGCAGATGTGATACAGATTTGATAGTCGGGGCTTACTCTTCCTTCTCCTTTTTGAGCTAAGCCTAAGATTCACTTACACGACATCGACATCATTCTGGCCTGTGATGATTGTCGAATATTTAGACAGAGGCTCTCAGTTCTATACTCTTCGGTGACCGAACATCGTCGCCCAGTTATCACATTCGCTTGGTTTGCAGGTGGGACACCGGGGCATTGGTATTCTTAATTGTCTATAATTCGTTCGTCTATTTCAGTCGTCTGGACGTCACTGTTCCCCCTGTTCTCACTTCTGACTCTCATATTCGTATCAACCCTGGTGGCTTGCTTTGTTTCCACTTGATTACTCAAACTTCATCGATGCTACCGACTACAAACGGAACATCACAAACATCGCCGTCGCCGTCCTCTCATAAAAATGGTTAGGCTAAGGTTGGCTACTTGGCTCCACCCTACCTCTCCCACTCCCCATCCTGTAAATACAGACTCCTACATAAACAAAAACCTCAGACCCACGTCTGAAATACCGCCAACCTCACTGGAGGAAAAAAAACACCACCATCAAAAATACCAGAGAGAGGAATCTGGTAGTAATTTTTGCAATCTTCCTCAAAAAAAGAAACCCACCGCGCCGCCCATCATGGCGCCTTCTAAGATGATTACCCTCGCGCAGAAGATCAGCACCGAGACCGAGAAGGTCGAGGCCTACTTCAATGAGCACGGTCTTCAGACGCCTAGCTTCGACGTCGACGCTCCAAGTGACTTTCCTGAGATGCCCGAAGACATTTCGCGCAGCCGTCGTGAGATCATCCATGCGACGAAGGAGCTCCAAGATCTCATGGTCGGTCCTCGAGAATCTGTGCGATGGATGGCATGGAATGTAAGTGAGACATTTGAGACAGTTTTATAGCTTTTTTATCTCCGCTTTCCCTATCATAACACCCTAATCATATATACACACACCTTGCTATAGTATTAGGCATTATGCTGACATCGTGACACAACAGTTTATGGACACACAGAGCCTGCAACTTTTGAACCACTATGGGATCGGTATGTTATTTTTTTTCTCTAACCGTGCGAAATTGATATATAGATACTAACAATATGTACCAGCCAAGCTTGTCCCCATCGATGGCTCCATCACTCTGTCGCAGTTAGCGAGCCAGACCACTCTCGACTCCATCAATCTCACGCGTCTTCTACGACATGGCATGGTCAATCATCTCTTCCAAGAGCCTACCCCGGGAGTAATCATGCACACGGCAGCCTCTCGACTCCTGGTCGAGGACGAGACCCTGCAGTCTTGGGTCGAGTTCAACACTAAGGATGTGTACCCGGCCTCTGCCCACGTCATCGACGCACTGAAGAAGTACCCCGAGGCCACGGGCCTCATGCAGACGGGCTTCAATTTCGCGTTTAACACGGTCGACACGGAGCCCATGTTCGTAACCATCGGTAAGGACCCTAAGAGAGCCAAGCGTATGGGGCAGGCCATGTCGAGCCTTACCGGGGGCGAGGGGTACGAGCTGTCGCACATCACGGAGGCGTGCGACCTGACGGAGGTGGACGCGCGCGGCGGCACGCTCGTCGACCTCGGCGGCAGCCACGGCTTCGTGTCGGTGTGGCTGGCGCAGCGCTTCCGCAACATGCAGTTCGTGGTGCAGGACCTGGCGAACACGATCGAGAGCGCGCCGCAGCCCGTATGCGCCGACGACGCCGGCGTCGCTAAGCGCGTCCGCCTGCAGGTGCACGACTTCTTCACGCCGCAGCCCGTGCGCGGCGCCGACGTGTACTACTTCCGCTGGATCATGCACAACTACTCTACCCCTTACGCCGTCCAGATCATCCGCGCCCTCATCCCGGCCCTCAAGCCGGGAGCCCGCGTCGTAATCAACGACCTGTGCCTTAGCGAGCCGGGCGTCGAGAGTCCGTGGGACGAACGTCTTATGAGGAGCATGGACCTCGTCATGATGACCCTGCTGAACGCGCAGGAGCGCGAGGAGGAGGATTTTCGTCAGTTGTTCAAGCAGGCTGATGAGGGCTTCGTTTTCAAGGTAAGTTCTTTTCCCTTTCTTTCCAAGTATTATTATGCGTGTACGACGAGGAAGTAGGTACGAGATGAGAACACAAACGCTAACTGTTAATTGTAGGGTGTCACTCGACCCCGAAACAGCCGCATGAGCGTGATTGAAGCCGTGTGGCAGCCCGCCGAACCTGACCAGTCTTCACCGGCTGCATGCGAGCCTCCCCGAGAGCTTGCCGTCATCTAGTGGCAGTTACCGCGCATACATGTGGAAGGAAAAGGCCGGTACCGGGAGAGTTGATATACCGCGAGAAGAATCTGTGCATAGGACAAACGGCGGTTTACTTGCTGGCAGGAGAGTGTTGCTATCATCGTTGCATAGCCTGAGGGCAGCCTAAGGGCAAAAAAAGTTTGTGGAGGTTCCTTTTCTTTCTTATTTCCCCGATCGGCCTGAGCCTAATACCCAAACCCCTTTTCTATCTATCCCTTGCGATTGAATGAAGGCATGACGTTACGATTGATGACGGAAAAGGAGGGGATGCGTTTAATAAGGGCAAAATGGTTTGACGACGTTGATCACGGTTGATGATGAACGTCCGGTTACAAAAGGCATCCACACGAGTCTGTTCATACTGTTGCTTCATAATACGATCAATGATACGATCAATGACATGACCTCTTCGGTTTGGAATTTGTGACTGTGATAAAGACAAGTAAGGTAATTTACGTAGGTATTATCACGAGGGATTCGAGATCAATTCGGCCCATCGCTCCTCGGCATATCACTGTCATCGCCAAGTATGGACTAACCACAACGTTGATCTGAGGCTAGAGGCGGAGTCGCGACGACGGAGTTTCGATGGGCTCATTCGCTCAACGAGAGGAGGCTCATGGAGAGCTAAGCATCTCAGTGGCTGGCGGCAGATGAAATAGCTAAGCGAGCTTTCGGAGACAGCCTCAAAGCGTGCCATCCGGCGCTTTCTCGGACCGGCCCAAGTGTTGTAGAATTTTATCACAAGGTTCTATCGCGCTGGCAGAGCCTTGGCGACCCCTTCAAAACACCCCAGATCTAAGATGCCCTCAAAATGTGGGGAAGCTTCCCGCATGGAGCATGGAGAACTGATCTCGCCTCCACAGATTCCACGACGATCTCCGGGGCAGAACCGTATGCAGTTTAGACAGGCATGTATGACATCGCTGTTATAATCCGGGGTCGTCCTCCACAACGCGTGCCCAGGAGCCGACGAACGCCCGGAGCTACGACGGCTTCATGTTAGACGTATGGCGATTCTTCTTCCGAATGTGATGCGCAGCGTAGTAGTAAAGCAGTAGAGCCGCTCACAGGCTCGGCGGTATATGATGAAATATAGTAGCGGGAGTTGTAAGATCAACAACACCCTCCTCGACCAATCTCCATTATCTCTATAGTGAACTTCGGCCCTTCTAATGCTTTCACCGCAATGTAGCCGGGATGGGGGCTTCAGGGAAGAGTATATAGGGTCAACCTATCCGGCGACAAATCGACGAGATGAGGTTTATAGACCAACGACGAGATCCACATCGCCAAGGTTCACGATCACAGTCCAGCCTACTACTCTTCAATCGTTTATACACTATCATCCGCTCGTTACTACAAAATGAGGGCAATCTCCGCGTTAACAGGCGCCGGCCTCCTCACTCTTGTGCAAGGCCACGGATACATGACTATCCCTTCCAGCCGCACCCGCCTCGGGAACGAGGTACGTGGACCCACCGTGATAAGTTGTCCTTCGAATCGAACATGACGCTAATACATACCTCTATATCTAGGCCGGCACAGACACCTGCCCCGAGTGCACCATTCTCGAGCCGGTGACGGCGTGGCCTGACTTGGACGAGGCGCAGGTCGGCCGGAGCGGGCCGTGCGGGTACAACGCGCGCGTGAGCGTGGACTACAACCAGCCGGGGGCGTCGTGGGGCAACAGCACGGTGGCGACGTATGCCCCCGGCGACATCGTCGAGGTGCAGTGGTGCGTGGACCACAACGGCGACCACGGCGGCATGTTCACGTACCGCATCTGCCAGAACCAGACGCTGGTCGACAAGTTCCTGGACCCTAGCTACCTGCCGACCGACGACGAGAAGCAGGCGGCGGAGGACTGCTTCGAGGCGGGGCTGCTGCCCTGCACCGACGTCGACGGCCAGGACTGCGGCTATAATGCGGATTGCACGGCGGACCAGGCCTGCTACCGCAACGACTGGTTCACGTGCGAGGGATTTAACTCGGGGACCAAGTGCCAGGGCGTCGATAACGCCGCGCTCAACTCCTGCCACACCACCATCTCCGGCGGCTACACCGTCACGAAGAAGATCAAGATCCCGGACTACGCGAGCGAGCACACGCTCCTCTCCTTCAAGTGGAACTCGTACCAGACGCCGCAGGTCTACCTGTCGTGCGCCGACATCGCCATCTCCGGCGGCAGCAGCTCGCCCAGCCCATCGTCGTCATCGACAAAGACCAGTACGCCCTCCTCCTCCTCCACCAGCACCGCCGCCGCATGCGCCGCGTCAACTAGTAGCGGAAGCAGCAGCAGCAGCAGTAGTAGTACTAGCACAGTAGCGCTGACCTTCAACCAGGCCGTCGCCACGACGTACGGCGAGACGATTAAGATCGTGGGATCGATCCCCGCGCTCGGCAGCTGGGACGTGAGCAGCGCACCCGCGCTGTCCGCGGCGCGGTACACGGCGGCGAACCCGCTGTGGAGCGTCACGTTAAGCCTGCCCGCCGGCACCGCGTTCGAGTACAAGTTCGTGAAGGTGGCGAGCGGCGGCGCCGTCGCGTGGGAGAGCGATCCGAATCGCTCGTACACCGTCCCGGCTTCGTGCGAGCTGGCTGCGCTGGATGTGGCGGGGACGTGGCGGTAGATGGGGGGGGTGTATGATATTACATAGTTCGTTTCGTCTTGGACATTTCTTATGGAGATTCTTTCTTTAGTACATATTCCTATATGAGGACTTCGGGATATCTCATAATTACATATATGATGGATTGATGAATATATGAAATTACATGCACCAAGCTGATGCTGGTCGATGGTCTTTCGCGCGTCATGATTCATTCCATAATTCACCTAATCGACCTAGGTAAACCCTTTTTACCAGGTCCGGAATATGGTAGAGATCATGGAAGTGTCATCGAATGAACCCCTAAATATGTCGGCGATTTTCTAAATAATGAACGGTGGGCTTCTGGTTCGTCATCCTCTGAGATCGGCTGGACTGGAACCCATTGAATACGTTTCGATGACGGCAATTCATGTCACTCTATGATGGGTATATCGATTGATACAAGTAATATCAGCCAGACGCGCGCGATACTTGGCGTTTTAATCACCATGGTAAGTTTCTCCGAGGAAGTGAAGCTCGTAAAATCGAAATTATTCTGTTTGTCTGAATATCACCAATGCTGCGACAATCGCTACGACCAGCCCGGCTCAGAGTATTGACGGCCCGGTCAGTACCTGCACCGATAGCTTGTGCAAAGTTATGGCGTCCGTACTCCGACGAAGCCAAGACCGCCATTCAGCCAGGCAGTATTTCGGAAGTGATCCACCAGGATCACCGCCAGATTGAAAAATATTACGACAAGATTGTCAACTCGAGTGATCATGATGTTCAACGTCGGTACCAAAACGCATTTGTGTGGGAGCTCGCAAGGCATGCCATAGCCGAGGAATTGGTTGTGTATCCGTCGATAGAGACAGGTCTCAACGATGGCAGAGAAATGGCAGATAAAGATCGTGCGGAACATCAAGTGGTACGTCCGATACATACTACATATTTGCAGTGCAAGGACTAATAAGGAATTGCCAACATAGGCCAAAGAGCAGCTTTACACGTTCCAGAACCTGGAACCCGGAGACAGGCACTTCATCCCGACGTTAGAGGCACTCATGAAAGATCTAAAGATGCATATCAAGGAGGAAGAAGAACACGACCTCGTCAAGTTAGAAGCAGCGCTAGTTCCATCAAGATCGAGGAAATTAGCCGAGCAATTCGAGATGACGAAGGCGTTCACGCCCACCCGCAGTCATCCGGGCGCTCCAAATAAGCCTCCATTCGAGACAGCGGTGGGGCTCCTGACAGCGCCACTGGACAAGATTCGCGATATCTTCCGTTCTTGGCCCGAGGAGTACAGCGCGAGGCCGCCTTCCGGTGGTCCCTCAAGATGAGGGTAAGTGGCTGTCGGAGTACCAATCAACAACACGAAAAACTTGGCAAAATGATCGGTGTATATACTATTCAAAAACGCTCGATCCTGGTTCAACAAGCCCACATTCTTTGGACCAAACAGAGATAATTCGGTATCGCGTGGGTCGTTTCTTCAGCCCTACACGTAGCACGTCAAATTAGAGCTGCCCTACACAACATACCTATATATTACGTTTAAAAATAGGTTTCTAGCATCAGACCTCGTATTCCATGTGCAAGTCCCTATCGAGACATAATGTGGAATGACTGGCTGGCTATGATTTAGCCTATTGGATGACTTACAGTAGCCTCCAAAGGTCGGATCACTCTATGTAAACTTTGTAAATAGTCTAGTCTAGATCGATCAATGCTACCTCGTGAACGGACGTTATGCAATGTTAAGATAATTTCCTCAGCTTACTTTCGCCTCATATCACTGACGATGGCGAGCCCTACTACGAGTGACAACATCACATAGGTATATAACAATGTACTTACAGTGGTCTCAAAAGCCCCAGTTAAATCCGCAAAGCACAAGGTGTCAACACTACTGAGAGGGCAAGATGAGACATCACGAGTTTATCCTTGCTCTTACGAGCCTCTTCACTATCTCCGTCTCGTCGATAGAATACCGACGGTCCCATGGTGACCTAGAGCCTCTAGAGCCATGGCAGGTAACAAGATTAAACACATTCTCTCCCTCAGGGCGCCCAGGTAGCGACACACTCGCCCACCTATGGGCCAATATCACGAACCCTAACTCCGTTCCCGCCGGGCCTGGGACCACCTTCGACGCCAGCAGCGCGAACTGCACGGTGGACTGGACTTACGGAGGCGAAAACCCGTACGGTCGTGTATTTGAGTGTGACACAGAGGACGCTCAGTCATCATCCTCATCCTCCGTCTCGAAGTGGGAAATCGAGGTTCTAGAGGCGAATAGTACTTCGCCGTCGGCCACCACGAACATGGATGTCAAGTTTATGCTCACGGTCAACTTGACGGTCGACGGAGATGATTATTACAAGGTCTTGGTCGGAACGCAGCATTTTCAGCTCGGGGAAAATATGGAAGGGACATGTGGCGGGAGTGGTGTGGTGTGTATATCTCTTTTTCTCCCCCTTTTTATTTTCCTTTCCATGCAACCACTAATTCTAGTGCCCTCCTTAGTGTTCGTGGAGTTTGAAGAGCGATAGTGTTCCAGTATTGGTTCAGCCTACAATTGTGGCCTGTGAAGGGACATGCTGACTTCCTGTAACCCGCGAGTGAGATTCATAAGATGGTGTTAGGTTGATTGGATCTTGTGTACTACAGTCGCATATATCATTGATGTGTGTTCCGAAGAATCCTTTCAAGAAATCTATATTTCAGTAACACCACATCTATATCCCATAAATATACAAGAGCAAACGAGGTTGCACCGCTTCTTGGTCATCCTAAATCCGCTCGTAGTACACAGCTTCCCAAGTCCATTCCGATGAAAGTCCCGAGGTTGAGCTCGGCGCTGGACTTCTCCAATGGGTATTCATATCTATATATAAAGTAGAGGCTATCCTATGTCCCACTGCACAATCTATCATTTACAATATCATCTGGCCCAGAAATAAGCATCATACAATCATTCAGTTATCTTCTCCTCGGGAAGAGGCACCACGGGCAGACCCCAGACGATCTTGGGCTGGGCATTCTCGCTGCTCCATGCCTGGTCAAACGCGATGCTCGACCAGGCCGACGCCTTCGCTCCTCTCTCGATCATCTCGTCCTGGTACTCTCCAAGTACCTTCTTGATCACGGCGGTGTCGTTCGTCTTTATCTTCGCTAGGGCCTTTCCGAGGTTAAGCGCATCAAGAAGAGCGTGGAAACCTCCTTCGCCTCGGACTATACATTGTCATTAGTTAATTACATCCTTTCTTTGAGGAGCATTCGATGGAATTGCTTACAGGAAGGCATGGCATGTGCAGAATCACCCATCAACGTGACCCTCCCGTGGGGCAGCTGGTCAGGGGTCATGGTCAGAGTCCAGAAGTGGATAGGCGGCTGCTTCATCCCTTCAGGCCCAGTCGCCTTTACAATGGACCGTAGCTTGTCCGGCAGGTGTGCCGTCTTCTCCAACGCATACTCGTACAGCTTCTCCTTACTAGCCGAGTAGGGCCAGAAGTCCTTGCTCGTCGCTCCCTCGTCACGCCAGAACATGTTGTAGTAGTACCTTCCAGACTTCCCGTCCTCGAAGGCCTCGCTCAAGCCGCAGAAGAGGAACGCCGGGTTGTCGTCGTTCGGGCTCATGTCAATTAGGTAGCAAGAGTGTCCTAGTGCCAGTTGCTCTTGCATCTGACGACCGCTGAGGATGGCCTCGCCGCTGATTGTTCCTTGGCGTGGCTTCCTGATCACGTCTTTGCCTCCTAACAGGTATTTCCGAGCTATGAATGGCACGTCAGTACACTAGTCTACCAGTCCACCGAATGAATCAAGATACTGACTTGGGCTGTAAGGTCCCTCGGCGCCAACAAGGATATCACCGGTAGCCGAGGTTCCGTCTTCGAAGTGTACCGTCACGGTGTCGTTGCTCTCTTCGATTCGAAGGGCACGCTTGCCGTATTGGATCGGCATGTTCCTCGCCAGCCAATTCCGAAGGCGGCCTCGGTTCGCGCGGATGAACTTTCCACTTCCGTCATCGCGCACGCCGAGTTTTGTGGTGCGGTCGTGTCTGTACCAGGCGAACTCGTAGTTGTGCTTCAGGGGGAGCAAGTGGTTGATGAAGTCGCGCGAGCCCAAGTCATCTGGGACCGAGGCATCGAGTTCGTCGAGAATGCTTCATATACCAGTTAGTACTTAGTTTCGCCATGGTCTCTTTCCGCTATGTGCCACTCACGTGTGGAGACCGATTGCCCAGCCTTGGACTCGAACGTTGTCGCTTGGGTCTCGCTCGAAGATTTCAAAGGGGATGTTGTTCTTGCGTAGTGTCTGGCCGAGCAACAAGCCACCTAGGCCAGCGCCTACAATCAGAATGCGGGGGGAAGCTCCTTTTGCCATATTTATCTCCTTAAAGGGTAATGGCGTGAGTACAGTTTTCAAGTTATAATATATCGAATATTAGTTTCGATGACGGATCGTTCGTGCCGTCTGTTGAGCTACAATGGTAGTAAGCCATTGTGGTGGCAGCCTTATATAATTCTGCTAACATCATGTCATCGACGTTAACTTCAGCTGAGAAACTCCTCATCGAGACACTAAACCTCAGGCGAGGCTTCCATCGGACTAGAGTTTATCGAAATGAGTGAGAATGTCACTCGGCTCGGTCATACCTACTGGTCCGAATATTTGAATCATGGTTTATATGCCTGGGTGGAGGCCAGCCATCCCGCGTTAACTGCCTATACGAGAACAAACGATTCGATGATCCTGCAGCATTCCATCACCGCCTACATGGAGCCGAGCCAGTATGTAAGCCACCATTGGAGGAGGCTCGCCGAGTGCCGGAGAGATCTCTCTCATCTGACAATAGGGTGGTTACACAGAGAAGCTTGTTTCGATGAAGCTTTTTTCGATGCTGACAACTCCTGCGGAGCCGAATATGGTATGTGAATAGCCGATTACAGATGGACCTTACATTGGAAAGGCAATATCGACATAGCCATAGGAGTTCTCAACTTTCTAGAAGAATAAAGACACGGTGAAGTTCAGTATATTTCTCCCGTATTACTGAGGAACCATAGGGGTTGGTAAGGAACATTTGGTCCGACCCATTTCAGCCTTGTTATCCACTAGGAGAAGAATCTCGCCGGATTACCAAATACGTCTCGGACATGACGGGGCTACAACTCCATGATTACCGTGTTACACCGCATCATATTGCAGTCTGCCGGCCGAAGTCCTATCATAATGACGGAAATAAGCAATCCTTAACAGGAACGTCGAGGAAGGGATAAAGACCAATCAAGTTCGAGGTCGGAAGAATTATAATCGACCTCATGAAAAAGGATTCAAAGGATTAAGTATGCTACTGCCTTGTCGCGATTTCTGTGCGAAGATCGCGATTTTTTCTGTGCCGCGCATCGTCGTGGGACTACGAGCTGTGTTCGGTCGGTGGATGCATGCTGATGTGAGCATGGAATAAGGGAAAGGAAAACGTCGTACTTCCGAATAGGTACCTACGGATTTATGGGACTACCTCAATCAATACCTTCGATTGCCGGCCTAACGCCGTTGTGATCGGTTCGAGCCACCGTGATTTCTGTGACGTTGGACATATAGGGGCTACGCATTAACGCCAGTCAGATAATTAGTGAGGCATTCCCAGTATGGTGACACGCTTCTGACTCAAGTGGTAGTAGAAGGCAGCCACTCGCAAGTTCGAACCCCCTTGCAGTCGGTAGCGAGAACTTTTGGACTATTGGGATCTAAACGCCGGTGCTCTTTGCTTTTTTGGAGAGTCGAAGGATGATTCGAGTTTCGACGCGCGCCTTAATAATCATATCATCTGCGCGGGATGAAATCCGCCTGGGACGGGACGGCCACCTATTCGAGTCATCGTCGGTTCCAATACTACCCTAGCCAGGCACAATATGTTAGCCAGTAGCCCATAGGGCATAGCTTTTCTTCTATGCGGGATCTAGAAAACAATGCAACCAAGCTGCTTGAGACTGACCATGCGGGCCACTTTCGACAGCGTATCTATCTCTCTCTCTCTCTTTCTCTCAATTCTCTCTCGCGAGTGACATCGGTTAGTATGTAGCTTCGCCGCATCAGCCTTGCAATAGACGCCGCCTCACGCATCCCACCCGGTAATTTCTTCGAGGATTTAGATGAAACTAGACCATGATTGGTGTAGCATTGCCGATCTTCACCCAACACAGATCACATTTGGCCTCTCCCACATAATTTCCGGGATCCCGGAAGCGGTACGCACATCGAATCCCGGACACAATTCGACGCGCCTGGAATTTGGTAGGATGGCGTTACGAAGCGTGCATAGATACTGCGAAATCGAAGGCTCGTTACATGGAATGATTGCTACTCGCTTCCGAACGCCGTCAGAAACAGCAGGGATTTTTGTACGGAACAACCACGCTCGTAACAGGATAAATCCTACGTAGAACGTTGATGTTACTCGTACGATTTCCACGCCCAATATCGTGCTGCCTATAGGTAGTCTTTTAGCGATGGATTGAACTCCTGCAGAAGCATTTCTGCGAACCGAATACTTACCATGTATCAAGCGGCAGTAACTTGCAGAGGAAGATCCGAACATCGCAATAAAGGCAATGAGAAGATGCGAAAGCGAGTGCGAGTATCTAGGACTTCTCTATTTCGTCACTTCAACTTCCAGGTTATGTAGGTACCTAGGCTACCGTGTAGGCGAGTAAAAGTCCGTCGAGAATTATTAAGCCATCATGAGCTTTATCTCTAATGATCGGTGTTACCAGGATAATCATCTTATGTATTGTCGAAAAGTTCAGATGCTTTAGAAAGGACGTCTCAGCGGCTCAACAACCTTGTCGATCTGGATCTAGCACGTGCATTGGTGTCCGAGAACTTGGCAACTTGGCGATCTAGGTGATCGCGACGCGGCTTATGCTGTTCCTGTATGGTGACACGACGTATTTTTCAGTCTTCGTCACTATCTGACTTCACTACAATCTTGACGTCGTGAGCCTAGCTCTTGTTCTCATAACATACAATACCTAAGCCGCATATCAATATTGTTTGATCAGAACGTTATGGGATATAGAAGCCTCCACCAAGTCGAAGTTATGCCCTCCTGACTCCCACGCTTTTCACTCGACTGCGTCGACATGGACGAATTTCGAGTAAAATATACCTATCTCCCGAATGAGACGTTGTGGTAATGGCCGTGACACCCACCATCCTCATATCTGCAATCAACCTCTTTTATCGAATGCCTATGTTTATCTCGGTGTCAGCCTATCGTTCGAGTACTCCCACCTACCTAGCCAACTCGGCCTACGAATCCTTTACGCCACGTTGTACGAATATCCTCAACCATAATTACTTTATGCGGTTAAATGCTAAATAAACGATCTAGATAGACAGGAAGTATACAGGAAGCAAAGCGTGCAAAATATGGCAACTTGGGCTATTAAGCATCAAGTCGCAGTCTCTTCACTAGAAAACTCCACGATAGCGATGTTCGAGTCATAGACGTTACGATATGCTTCCGGAAATATAGCTGCAACGTGTGACACCTACCTACCTACCTGCCTGCCGCAAAGATACCTACGATGCGATTCGAGGTTATCGACTGCAATATATTTTTCTCTACTGTCCTGACGCAGAAGTTGAGCTTGCCGTCTGTATCCTATACTATCGGCATAACCAATACCTATTCAATATACGATTCTTACAATTTCTATATCGAACATATGCCACCTATCTAGGTACCTACCTTGTAGTTTGGCCATATAAAGCAGATAGAGGTAGTAATCATATTTAGGGCATCGATAGGTAACGACACGCCGAGGATTATACATGCGAAGTACATCCAACGTTGCGCTACTACGCTTGTGAATGATTCAACGAGAGCACGAGTCAAGGGCGTTTAGATGTACGCTGATTCTTATCAGGAGGGTGAAGTTGTTTACCTCTTCTTTAGCATATGCTTCTTTTACGGAAGTAGCTCCATCCTCGACATTCAACGCCACTACACTCGAGTATCTTAACAAAGCCCTATCTAGGTATAAGTAATTACATTAGCTATTACAATAGCTATTTCTAATGGCCGGACTACACGTGACAGAATTCTCAGCAGCATAGTATTCAGCGCCAACATCTATGTCTAATCGCTGATAGTAAGATACCAATATCAAGTTGAAAGCCCATTCTACTAGATAATGCCTGCTCTGTTGATACGCGCTGATATTGCTCCAAGTAAGATGAGACAATCATAACAAGTAGTGGTCACTTAGTATGACTTCTACGGTACCCTCTGTTGCTACGCAAAAGTAGCCATGGCCGGAAGCTATGGCTCCTTTAGCGACGACTCTTAGACATATGCTGCCTTATCGTCATCTGGTTTACTGATGTGTTCCTTTCAGGAAACAAGGAATATCATTCAAACTTGATGAAACAAATTCAAGGTTACAGGCCTGAAATAGTTATGCTAGGAGGATGTTCAATATACTGGATGCCTGTGGCCCAAGTCGTTCCCCGTGAAAAAATGCAAAAAGATAGACGTCAGACTTTTTAGAAATAGAAGAACATCGATATATATATTCCTTTCTTTGAACTTGAGGCTCTTAGCCCCTTTCTCTCAGCACACAATTGATCTCTACCACTTAGATTAGTAGTTCGCTCTCAACACTAGTCGTCCCTATCATTAAGTCAAAAGGATTCTCCAAAAGATGTTAAGTGAGAATAATTAGTTTAGCTTCGAAAGCAACGATATTTCCAGCCGGACCAAAGTAAACTTCCCCTCATTGCAACATTATCTCTGCGGTATGGTTTATCCAGGGGCATCATTAGAGCAGTCGGCTGTTAGACAAACTGGATATATCGAGATGCGCATATTAGGAATGGATTATATTAATATCTACGGTTATACATAATTCAACTCACTGTTATTAGGTTACGAAACCTTGTTACTGGGAGTTCGTTAAATTCATCCTCGGAGACCCTATTAGAAACCATTCACAAGTGAGATATCAAACACAGAAGTGAGTTTCCAGTAGTTGTTCGTCCTCAAAGCCCCTATTACCATGAATACACTGTATAGTAATGATAGTCCTTGAACTTCCTAGGCAACTATCATTGATACGGTTTGCGTGTTCATAGTAAAACTAGGTTACTAGCTTGGCGTTAATCTATATACCAGAGGTAACGTTAACCTTCGCCACTCAAAAGAACCCCTATTCCCCCTATATATTATCTGTATCACCGTTGCTAGGCATCAGATGACAAAGCAGGATTCTCCACCCTCTGCACGTATCTCTCCTATGTATTTCCACCACGGACGCCCTACTAACTACTTGGTAATTTCGTCATGGTGATACAAGAAAGGGGTTCGCACATATGAATTATATCATGTATTCCGAGCTCCATGCAAGGCACAGCAAACAAACTATCTAACATGCGGGTGGAGCTAGAGTCGCAAGGACATCCTGGCAGAGCCTAACCAGACCTCATCATGACTGCTT